GCTACGGAAGCTACCCTTTTCTCGTTGCCCTAGCTGATTCCCCAGCTGATTACCATTTCTCCAGAGTCGCCCATGGTAGGTACATAGCTATCTAGAGCATGGTCAATTCGTCGCACTAAAACGCCTAAAGACGTTAACAAACATCGTTGGGGCAAGTGCCTGCCAAGAGATGGGGGGCGGGCGGCCAGACCGTCTCGCCACCAAGATCCACGCGCGGAAGTTAGACGCTACCGTATCTTTTCTCATATTCCTGTTTACTATAGAAGAGCGGGGGAACGAGGTCTGGGGGCAAAAGGACAAAAGGACGCCCGTTGCCTCTGCTACTATCAGGAGAAATCCTCCCAAAAAGGGACTACGCGGCCGATTGATGCGGGACATGGGGGAGGTGGCCACAGCCAACCAGCCTCCCCGTTGAGGGTGTGAGCGGCACTAGCTTCGAAAAAGAGGCGCCCTGACAAAAGTTCTTGCTTGTCTCCGTCCGGCACACGGCACAGGCGATGCCAAGGAACTAGTTAACTAGTTAGCAGGTAAGTCGACGAGAAGGAGAGGCTCACCAAAGATGCCCGCGGGATGGTCGGCATGGCGGCGCCACTGACGAGGCGAGCAGCCTGACAGCCAGCTGCTAGCTCACCAACTCTCAACTCTGAGTTATCGTTATCATGACCGAGGTGAGAGCGTCTCGAGTGTACGTGTGGTGTGAGATATCGCTGTGGAGAGTGGGAAATGGGAACAAATAACGACCACTTTTTGGGATGACTAGTCAAGATAGCCAAGATAGTCAAGAATACATAGACAAGCGCTGGGTAAGGATGGATACTGATGGGCAAGATGGTTGTAGCGACTGGGCTGAAACCTACACACTGTACGTTCCTGTAACGGATAGAGTTCAGCACTATGCAGATTCCTCTCTGCCGTGTATCTAGATACATGCAATATAGTACTGCGCATGTAATATACGTAAGGAACTCTGTAACTATGTAGTTACTTGGTAGACAACGAATCAATTCCTTTCTGTTTCTCTTTGGCTGCTTGGCCCACCGATTCTCTGGGGGCTGCCTTGGCTCATCACCGCCCCCGGAGTCCTCACCGATCACCCTCAGTTTCTATGAGGTAAAAACTTTTTTCGCTCTTGTCACCTTATGATCTCGTGAGCAAAATTGCCAACTAACTAACCCAGCCGCTAACTAGTTTGTCGTACAGAGAGTCCTTCCAAAAGTTCTTCCAAAAGGAACCGGCCGGCCGCGTCGCATCGGACAAGTTCCATTCTTGACAAATCAGCGACCACAAGATGTGAATTCAATGCCAAAAGAACCTAGACTCGAGGCGGGCTCATCCCCCCACCACGCTGACTTATTAACTTGACTGGATAATATGTGCGGAAGAGCGAAAATATCGTCCGCCCCCCCCCCGCCCCTGGCCCAGTGGCCACCCTTCTGCCGCGCTGATCGGCCTCCCCTGGGCCAATGAGCTTTTGGACCTTTCCAAGCTTCGACAGAAGTTCCTTCGCTTCTTCTCCTTCTTCTTCTTCTTCTTCGAAAAAAAAAAAAGGGAGTTGCTATCTGTCGCATTACGAAGCAGCCCACTACGTTACAATAGCAAGCTATTGTCTGGCATCAGGCTATCATCAGCTGCTCAACTACTGTTATGCCGAGGCACTTTTGGTCGCGTCCAATTGCAATGAGGCGCCATGTCAAATCGAGGCGCTGCGCTACGCCGCCATCCCGCTCTCTACGGCCGTGCTTCTCGGGAATGCCAAGTGTGTGTGTTGCGCCAAGAATGGGATCGAAATAACACCGACGCCAAGCGATCGATAGTAGACACACGGGACATGAAGCCCTTCATTTGTATAGTTATTGTGAGGTGTATATGAGACTTGTTATCCAGTTCGATTCGCGTGCAGCGTGGCGCCTGCGACAAGAGTCCCCTTTCCCTCTCCCTTGGTGCATAACAAATTTGCCTCTCGACAAGCAAAACTTGAAGCTTACTTTCTTCTATCCATCTCCTGTTCCTCGGACCTCGCGTCTGCCGGCTGCCCCCTTTCGCCATCCCGCCGCCCTCTCAAGGCGCTCAGCTGATTGCGCGTTTCCGCGTTGCCCCGAGGTGGTCTCGAGCGCCACCCAGCTGTAACCACGTAACTGATAGCCACATGTACTTGTGTGCTCGACTATTCAGTAGAACTTTTGCATTTTCATTTTCAACCCCGTATTCAAAAACGCCCGTCAGCTGCACTAAACCTCAACTGTCGCATGTCCGGGGTACCATCCCTGCTCGGCTCGAGATCCTCACTGTCGTCAACCCGCCTTGGCGGAGGAGCCCCCCCCTCAACTAATTCCCATCTTCGCCTCATCCTGCTGCTTTTATTAATAGCCAGCGAGCAAAAGAACTTGTCCTTGGTCCCAGAGCTTGTCCAGACTTGTGAAACGCCAAGGCGGGAAGGGCATGGGGGGTAGACTATCAGCAAGACTTTCCGCGGTCATTGTCTCTCGCAGATCCTGACCACTCGGATATGCAGCCCCCCATTCCGACGATAACGGTCGCACTGCCAACTGTCCATTGTCTCGCCTCAGAATAACAGTAATCTAGAATCAATAGTCTATTATTAATACTACAAAGATAACAAGAAAAAAAACAAAGAAACAAAGAACGTATTCAAAACGGCCCACCAAGGTTTTGCGCCTCGCACATCTTGGCGTACTGACCTCCCTGTGCAAGCAACTCTGCGTGTGTGCCCATCTCGACAATCCTGCCGCTGGAAAATACAAAGATGCGATCAGCCTTGGTGACTGTGGACAGGCGATGGGCCACCGCAATGGTGATCCGGTCGCCACCGCGCGCGGCCTCCATCAACGCGGCCTGCACGACGCGTTCCGACTCCGTGTCCAGCGCGCTGGTGGCCTCGTCCAGCAGCAACACCCGCGGGTCCCGGACCAGCGCCCGCGCGATCGCGATCCGCTGCCGCTGCCCGCCCGAGAGCTGCGCGCCGCCCGGCCCGCAGGGGGTGCCGAGTCCGTCCGGGAGGGAGCTGACAAAGTCCCAGACGTTGGCGGCCCGGCACGCCGCTTCGATGGCCCCGTCGGCTTCCGAACCGTGACCGTGGCCGTGACCGTCGTCGTCGTCGATGCCCATGGCGACGTTGTCCCGGATGCTGCCGGGGAACAGCGTGGGCTCCTGCTGCACCAGCGAGACGGCGCGCCGGTACCGCAGGGGGTTCAGCGCGGCAAGGTCGGCGGACTGGTCGATGGTGATGGAGCCGCGGACGGGGTCGTAGAAGCGCTCCAGGAGGGAGATGATGGTGCTCTTGCCGCATCCGGACGCTCCCACAAAGGCGACAAACTCGCCGCGGTCGATGCGCAAGGAGATCCCCTGGAGCACGGGTTGCTCGGGTGCCAGAGGGTACGCGAAATGCACGTCCTGTAGCTCGTACGAGCGACAGCCGTTCCTGGGGGCCGCCTGCTCGTTTTCTGCCGTCTGCCGGATGGTCGGCTGCAGGTCGGAGAGCCAGAAAAAGTAGTTGGCGGCGGCATTCGCCTTGGTAAAACCTGCACCGGTAATGTGATGAGTATGCTCTGCTCGACCGAGGCCGACGTGGGCTTCTTGTATGGACTTGCACTTACTGCTTGCAAATGTGAGCATTGTTGCACAGCCCTGACCGGAAAAGTACACGCTCATGAAAGAGACGATGAATTGATAAAAGTCCACGTCTTGCAGGAAAATGAGCCTGGACCCCCACCTACAGATGTGTGCGTGTCGCTCGTTAGTATACTGTTGATCCTTTGGACAATGATTTCATGTCGGTTCAAGTTACCAGAAGCCTAGAGCCAGTACAAAGAACTCGACCGACTGCGTGAATGCAAAGAAAAGCATTATAGACAGGAGTGGAAGCGTTGAGTTGGAGATGGCAGTGTCCAGCTCGTCGGTGTAACGGCGCAGAACATGGCCTTCGATTGCGAGCGATGAAACGGTACGCATAGTCGTCAGGCTCTCGGATGCGATGGAAGCGCTCTTGGAGAACCTTGACTCGACGATGGCGTCCATCTTGGCCTCGATTCTGATGCGTACGTATCCCCCCAAGATCATGGACGGTATGCCAGCGAGAACACCAACGAGGCCGAGCTTCCAGGAAGTCACAATCGAAAGGACTGCGCAGGAAATCACCGTGATGATCGAGAGAAGAATCATGGCAACGTTGAAGCCCATCAGCTCGAAGATGGATTGCGCGTTCGCATCGAGTTGGCTTGTCAAGGATCCTACCGTGTTCTCGGGCCGGCCGAAGAAGCTGAGGTCTTGCCGAAGGTAAGCAGCCAGCATTTGCTGTCTCACGTCATGGCCGTACGTCTGAAGATGGAATCAGTGTCCTTGTTTTCTAGCAACGAGGGAAGGGCTCTACCCTGCGTACCTGAGCGATGTGGTTGCTTGTCCAGCCCATGGCCATGTAGACAAGTAAGAGGCCGACGGCCATGGCGAAGAACATCAGCGCGAAGAAATTACCGCGCGCTTCATCGAGTCTTGGGTTGAAGACGTCCATGACCTTGCCGAGAAGCAGCGCTTGGCCGGGATACACGCCGGCTAGAATTGTTAGCCTGCAGGCCACACAAATGGCGCGTTTCTGCCGCAAGATTAGACTCACCTCCAGCAACGCAGCTCAGGAGAGAGAGCGCATACCACCACTTCAGATCGGGTGCAGTTCTGACGAGCCTTGCAGCTGTTGAGACGATACCAGAGCCCAAATGGAGAGTGTAGTTCTCTCGCTCGCTCGGTGAGTTTGTGCGAGCTCTCGAGACAGGGTCCTGTCGCATATTTCGAGCATACTCGGGCTCGGACTCCGACTCGGCTTGCTTTTCAACATTCTCGTCATCTTCAGAAACAGCGAGAGCGTTCCTGGGGGACAGGAGCTGAGCCGTCACCAGATCTGCGTAGACTCCACGACGGGCGACGAGCTCGTCGTGCCTCCCCTGCTCCACGATCCTCCCCTGCTTCATGACCACGATGTTATCCGCCGCTTGGATGGTCTTGAGCTTGTGCGCGATAACGATCGTCGTCCGGTTCCTCGACGCCGCGTCGAGCGCTCTTTGCACCAAGGTCTCGGCTTGCGGGTCGAGCGCGCTCGTGGCCTCGTCGAGAAGAAGGATCCTGGGGCTGGAAACGATGCTGCGAGCAATGGCGATTCGCTGTTTCTGGCCACCGGAAAGCAGGCTTCCTCTCTCGCCGATGGGCGTGTCGTAGCCTTGAGCAAGGTCCTCGATGAAGTCGTGGGCAAATGCCGTCTTGGCAGCCTCCTTGACTCTACTCAGACGAGCTTGGTGCGGCTCATGTTCCCATGGCGTTCCAGCAAGGCCATTGCATATGTTGTCGAAGATGGTACCGCTAAATAAGACAGGCTCCTGAGGGGCTGTTAGTACTGGTTGCCCAACGATGTCACTCTTCAGCCGTATTCAAAGCTTACTTGCTGCACTAGTCGCACATTCGTACGAAGCCACTGAAGATTCAGATGGCTGATGGGTGTTCCGTCGAGAGTAATCTCGCCGCAGACCGGGTCGTACCATCTTTCCAGAAGTCCTACAATTGTGCTCTTTCCAGAGCCGCTGGGTCCCTTGAAGACTGTCAGACACTGAGCTTTTGCAACATTTCCTAGTCAACTCACAACCAATGCTGTCACCTTGCCGGCGGGAATGTGCAACGTAAAGTTGTCTAATACCATGATGTTCGGTCTAGTCGGGTAACTGAACGAGGCTGCACGTATGTCGATGCGGCCGTCCAACTGGGAAGGCTTCGCACCAACGGGGCCCAGAGAATCCATCTCTGACGCTCTGTCAATGAGGATGAACAGTTCCGATGCTGCAGTGGCGGCTCTCGTGAATATCACCATGTTGGGAGCCACGGTGTTGAGCATGGCCCCCGCAATGACGACGGAGAAGAGGACACTGAGCTTGATTAGTTTGGGAACCCGTCATATCAATGTCATATCTGCACTCACGTGAAAACGGTACCGATGCTATCGACCTCGCCGCGGGCCATCATTCCAATCCCCTGCCAGAATGCGAGACCCATGCCCGCGAACATGACAAAGTACTCGCCGGCAAAGAGGAAACCGTACAGAGGGCTCTTTTTGCGTCCCAAAGTTTGAGCTTCACCCAGAAACTTGGAATATCGGCTCACGATTCTCGGAGCGAGATTGAAGGCCTTGATTGCTCTGATGTTGCCAAGGGACGACTCGGCGTAGGCGCCTGCCTGAGCATAGACCTTGAGTATGTTTGTCTCGATCCCTGCGTCGATTGCTCCCGCGGTTCCGACCATGATCATCAGTGCAGGAACGATGCAGAGCAAGATGAGCGTGAGCTTCCATTGGCTGACGAATGCAATCACGAACGCAGCGATGAATGTCGCCAGAGCTTGGATCATCTGGCCCAACTTCTCAGAGATGCCAGTTTGAACCAGCTTACCGTTGGAGACAGCTTGCATGGAAATGGACCCTGCGCTGCCGCGGTCGAAGAAGCTCATGTCTTGACGCAGCGCGGAGCGCACATATTCGTGGCGCATATTGCGGCCTATGACGAGAGCGGCGTAAGTCATGGCCGTGGAGTAGACGTATATGAGAACAAAACGGGCAATGCCGATGTACACAAAATACAATCTGACTGAGTTAGCCGGTCATGTGCCACGCAGCGCAACAGCTTTGAGCATGAACACGTACGAGTACTTGGATACTTGGGACATGAAGCTGTCCGGAATTCCGTTGCCGGTGCTGAAGTTGCTCAACAACGTGATGAAGTTGCCTAGCACCAGGTTGACCATCGCAAGGGAAACGCCGGAACCGCAAGCTGCAATGAAAGCCACGATCTGTAGAAGATGCGTTTTGAGAGTACCATGCTGGAAAATGCGCTTTTGAACAAGAGAATCAGCATGCTGGTGATTTTGCCAAGCTGCCATTGACGCCATGGCCGCAGCATTGGGCATTCTCGGTGGAGTGGCAACTTACGATGAATGCCTTCATCGGGGAAATGTGCTCGGTCATTTTAGGCTTCAAGTCATTGGCCATGACTTCTGTTTCAGGGGGCTTTTGACGATGGTGTGCAGAATCCGAACCAGTTGGTGACTTCTCGACCGCCATGTTGGGCACTGGCTTGGAGAGTGATGTTCGAAAACGGTCGTCTTTGTGAGGTCAAAAGATGAACGTCTTTAAATCTTGCCGGGACTTGTGAGCAAAGTGAATGAATGGGGATCGGCGACTCATTTATAACATCTCCAAGGTGATGGCAGCCATAGTCGTGTTAGATGGCCTGGTAATCGGGGCTCAATCGGTAGAGTCGCGGCCATCGGATGCTCCGAGGGAAATTTTTTTTTTTTTTTTTTTTTTTTAAATACAAGCTCTTTTTTTTCCTTTTCCGTCTTTTCTTTATCAGTCCAGTGAGTCAGACGGCAAGCTTCCCTGCCCTCATCTAGGGGAATTGACGTTAGCCGCAGCCCTGTGCGGACGGCCTCGGTGCCTCCGAGGTCCGAGAGACTTACAGGTAATTTGATCCAAACATCGCAAACGCAAATAGGCCCGGCTGTTTGTCTTCTTATTTCTCCTTATTCTTCTTGTGCACCTTCCGCTCTTTTTTACTTTCATTGTTTTAAATTTCAGCCTTTTTACCATCCTTCATATCAGCTTACAGCCTTCTTTCTCTATCCAAGATGCCACGCACTAGAGTTGACAACAGCGTACGAGACAACATTAGCCTTGCACCGTCGCCTGAGAATGGTATGTATGGCAACTTTGATTTCATGCTCCCGCATGCACAAACAATAGCTGGCCGATGACTGATCTGCATTTTAGAGCTTCGATTTGGTGTCGCCCGGATTTACGCCTCTTTTAACGACACCTTCATTCACATAACTGATCTGAGGTGAGCATCATCAACCCGATTTCGCCTGTGTGTTCTATACCTGGCATCAAAGCCATACCGCTAACGAGATGATTTATTAGCGGACGTGAGACCATTTGCCGCATAACTGGAGGTATGAAGGTCAAGGCCGATCGCGATGAATCCTCGCCCTACGCTGCAATGCTGGCAGCACAGGACGCTGCGGCGCGATGCAAACAAGTAGGGATAAATGCCCTCCATGTCAAAATTCGAGGCAAAGGCGGTAAGAAAAGACCCCCCGATCGGTACTGCTCTTCAGTTCACACCAGTTACTGATCGGGACAATTGTTTTTTTTTTTTTTTTCAGGAAGCGGCAGCAAGACACCTGGGCCGGGAGGTCAAGCTGCTTTACGAGCTCTAGCTCGTGCAGGCATGAAGATTGGTCGTATTGAGGACGTGACCCCTACTCCCTCGGACTCAACCCGTCGCAAGGGTGGCCGTCGTGGCCGACGCCGTTGATGCAGTTTATAAGCTCTCTTCTGGTTATTGGGTGGAGAGGATGCACAATCCGATCAACAAGAAAAGGGTGGACCTATTGCTTAGGGTGTAGGTGCTTATGGAACCAGGTTCAGAAACATGATGGAAGCGAGAGAGATAGAATTAGTTGATTAATCAAAGTCATTTATAACTACTACATGATGCCATACACTGGTCCAGCGGAATGCTTTTGGTCTATGCGCCATGCTCTCTCCGTTACAGGAGCCTCAGGCTTTCAGTGGATGGATGCGGTATGACTCAGCACCGCAAATGGCCATCCCCACATGTTTCGAGGGGGAGACGGCCGAGATGACTTTTGTGCAGTGCAATTCTTCAAAGGTTCATATTTCGAATCGCAGCCTTGTTGGCCCTGCTGTGAATATGTCCCAATCGATCAATGGCCAGGAACCAGATGGTGGCTACTCAACAAGTGGTGATGATGATCACGATGGCATCTCCGAAACCGTCGATGGCCATCCCGCCAGCGTAGTTCCCTTTCCTGCAGTTTGTTCTCGGGTCTTGGTGCAAACATTTGTTCTTGAATTCTAATAGATTTCAGTGCCGCTCATGTCGCTCACGAAAGGTTTGTGATTTTCACAAAAACGTTGTAAATGCTCGGTAAGCTGATAATTTATGCCAAGGTTCGCTGCGACCGCAAAGACTCACGAACGCCGTGTACAGCCTGCGCCCGTAGGGGGACTGATTGCGTCACTCCTACAGGTGCCAGGGTCAGGGGAAAACGTCGAAGAGTGCTCGTCTCTAACTCTTAGTAGGCAGCCATCGCGTCAGAGACGGTGCTTTCTGAAGACTGACAAGACGATAGTGAAGACAAGATTGATGCACTCGCAAAAAGGCTAGATCAGATTTTCAATTTCATTGCAGGTCAAGGTAGTCACCCATCCAGAGACCGACAGCCAAACTCTACGATCCATGCAACAAGTCAAATACCAGACACAACCGCAACAGCGCAGCAGATCCCTCAAGAACCCAACTCGGACGTCGAAGACGAGCATGTCTTGGCGGTAGAGTCCGCATTTGCGACTGGTTACGCACAAGAGAGCCTATCTCACGGTATCGATACTCCTGAGACAAACGCCCACTTACAATCGCTTGGCCGGATGATCGAAAGTCAAAATACTTATTCGCCCAACGTAGGGCCGCAAGAACTAAGGCCAGGCGATAAACTCCGCAATGTCAAAATGCCACCATTGGAGATGGCCTTGTCATGCATTCAGGAGCTGAGGTGTACGCTTTGCAATCGACCTTCCAAGCCGAAGATGCTTACCTGTTTATAGTATCATCATCAGTCAGATTTCTATGGACGTGGGATATCGACACTATCGGCCAGCTTCTTGAGATCACCACAAAAGTGTACACTGGTAAAGCTTCCGACGCGGAGCTGATAATTGTCAACTCCACTTTGTCTCGCCTGCTACCGATATGCACTGGTGACGGGGATACAGTACCAGCGCAGGTCGTCCTTGAACCCTACATCAGGCAATGTCAGATCAATCTCGATGCCCTTCTCTGCAGTATTCCGTTCAACCTCAAACCAGACTTTAACAACGCGCTTGCGTTTTATCACGCCGTGAGTTTTCTTCCCGCTTGTTACAGATGCTGAATACTAAGGCTTAAGAGGCGATCAATGCAATGGAACGAGGAAAGACTTTAACTGCATGGAACTACATCGCAGCTGCTGTGCACATGTATCATTCGCTTGGCTTTTTCCGTGAACGAGCTTTGGTTCCAGAGCAGCCGCAAGAGATGCGTCGACGGAAACGACTTGCATGGATGATCTTGATCGTGGATAAATCCCTTTCGCTTCGTTTAGGGCGGTCATCTACAATTCGAAAGAGCGACTTCACACTTGGAAAGCCGATAGATGCGTCACAAGACGATGTGCCAGCCATCGGCCCTTCGGCTGTGCTGGGGAAATGGATTGAGTTTTCTTTACTTCAGGGGAGAATTTTCGACGAGCTCTACAGCCCTGTCGCATTGCTCGAGTCGGAGCATACTCGCACTAGCCGAGCGCAATCTCTCGCTACAAAACTTCGACAATTAATCTATACAGTTGCGCCCTCAGAACAACGGTTCTACCAAGAAAGAAGCGTTGCTCTCGGCGATGATATGAACCAACTACTATGCGGTGCAGACAGAATCAATCTGTTGGCAACACTTACGTTGATCTATCGCGTTATTCCAAACGGCTCACAATCGTCGTTTGCATTCTGCGATGAGTGTGTTCACACCGCCCAGGAAGCCTTGGACGAGCATGAGCGCTGTCTGAGAATTTCGAGAAATGCAAAGGGTAATATGGTAACAATGTATCTTCAGTGGTAAGCTTTTGCGCGAATACCAGAGCCGTGGAATTTGACTCACAAATCTTCTAAAGGGCATTTCTTTCATCACCTTTCATACCTTTCTTTGTCCTTTTCTGTCGAATTTTCGAGACTCGCGAACTAGCGCACGTTGAAAGGCTGCGTTCCGTTATTGAATTGCTGCAACTTGTACCAGAAGACTCCTCGTCCGCCAGCGCACGGCAGCTACGCATCTTTAAGCCCATGTACGAAGTCGCGCGCAATTTTGTTGAATCGCATCAAAACGGCAAAGACACCGGTCGCATGGTCCGCGACGCGGACTTTGACATGGTCTACCAAGGCATCACCACTAGTTTCTCCTCGTTTGACACAGGCGAGCAACTGCAGCAGCTGGATTGGAATAGCCACCACGAAACGATCTCCATGCAAGCTGCAAATGAACTGGATAACTGGTTCGAACACAGTCAGAGGTTGCAATCGCTCTTTGAAGACATTGTTGATCCCTGAAAGGCTTGCTAACACAGGGAAACTGAACTCTACTATACTTTGATGATGCCTTTGGTGAGATTGAGCGTGAACAGAAGGGGGGTTTACGGTTGCAACTTTCAACCCTATGTAGAGGAGCGTTAATCCTGGAGTAGTCCGTACTATTGTTCGGTGGAGCGTTGATCCGCTTCAGATGAGTTGACACTCGCCCACTGAACACTATTAGAAGGCCTTGGCATCTGCCCGCTTACTCTGCGAGGCGAGACTTTTACGGCAGTACTTGCTGCGTAAACTACGTCATTCCTGCTTGGCAAAGTATTGATTACCCGCCACCATTCGTGGTCCAGGGAAGAGTCCACAGCGATTGGCAGGTTTGGCGGAGATGCTGTTACACTTACCACATGGAAACGCAGCCTCGTTGCGTCTCCTGAATTCGTCGGCGCGTCACGATGCCTTTCTTCGGCTCCGGCTGTTCGCTGACAAACGAGCCGACGAACCGTTCATTACAGATGCTGGTACTTTGGACAAGTGCATGCATGTCTTTTTGCTCCTCCGCATACAGTAGCGTGTCCCGCCTTACAAAAAGGACCGAAGAACTCACCCCCCCTCCTTCTTCCGGGCGTACGAGAACTTTTGCGCGTTTCTTCTTGCAGAGGACTCCATTGCACGTATTTAGTGTACCAAAAGGTCTCTCGCCGTGGGATACGGCTCTGACAATGTTTGTTCGTGATGCAAAAGTTCCGGAATGCGGTTTCGTCAACGATCGAGGACTGCCCATGCTATGGTTGGCTGGTTCGCCACGTGTCGTATGGCCGGCAAATGATGAACGAACGCTCGTTGATGCCCCAGTGCACCTATCTTGAATACTGACGGTCGGTCGTAGTGGCCGTGAGCTGTCAACTTGTCATGCTTGTACAGGGTATCTCAGCGCTCGGTCATCACTCGTTTGCTTACCTGATTAAAGTGCAGCCTAAGGAGTTAAGACGGCAAGCTACAGCTTGCAACAAACATACACTAACATCTGTCGTTTCCCGTTAATCACTACATAATGGCGAAGCGGAACACAGTTCACAGGAAGAAGAGCTACATTTTAAGCAATCTAAGACGAAAAATGGCTAGAAGAGCGACAACTAGCCGATCAGGAACGACAGCGAACCGAATTGACAGGGCGCCGACGTATTCTCAAGCAACAGAGTGAATCGTGTGGCGCGCTCCGCACTCTTTTCCCATGGGCACAATGATTTGAGTCGCGAAGCTTTTCTCTGGTCTTGATGACGGGACTTGGAAGCGGCGAGTTGCAAACGAACAGGCTCTGCCTTGATGCGAGGTTGCCCCGGCAGCAATTTTAAAAAAAGAAGTGAATCAAATTGGACCCAGTCAACAAGTATCAGGCGAAGATACTTTAAGAACCTGCCTACTACTGTTGCTCAAAGACGTATGTGTGGCTCGACCTAGGATGCGAGCCGCCAGGATAAGGCCGTCCAACATTTGCGTGGTCGGAAGTGACCAGGCTGCGCTTCCGCTGTGCGTTCACAAATTATCTCGCGCTGCAGGGACGGAAGGCTATAAGAGGCATCCCGTGCTTTTCTCATACTCAGTTTACACCACTGCTTGGTTATTAAGTCGCGATTGGGACGAGAGGGACAAGCACAAATGCTGCACACCCAGCCTACCGACCGACATGTAGCCCCTGTCTGTTGAACCACGAGGCAGGTTTTGTCTCAATGCAAGTTGAATGACTGGGGCCACAAATAAAGTCGCCGATTGGACTTGATCTTTGGCGACGGCTGCGATACGCATGGATCTGGCAGTAGCGCGCGGGTGCGTCTAGCCTCTACTACGTGCCACGACATCACGGTTGGCTCCGCGCCCCATGGACGAATACTGTAGACCAACCTTGACTGTGATCTAGGTAAGATAGCCTCGATCGCCTTGATTGACACAGCGCAGCAGTGACCACCCTCAGCCGCCGCTGCAGCCTGAAGCCTATCAAGCTACGTTTCACGTACATATCCGCGTGCATGGACCTACCCGATGATGCGAAACAAGTTCTTCCTCTCGTAACGAACCACATCCTGGGTCTACAGTCATGTTCCTAGCCAAGCCAACCGATGGTAATTGGCAATAACAATAGCAGCCCACCCACATGGCAACTTACAGGTTCATCTGCAGGCCGTGTATTGCCCTTCCTTCGTGAGCGACACGTTGATGCGCCACAGCGCTCGTTCTCCCTCGTGACCCCGGATTCCTCGATGTTTCATTCCAAGAATGACAGCCAGGGCTCTGGCACAGCTTCAAGGTCCACTCGAGACAACTTTTAACAAGTGTAATTGGCCTGCATACCCATCTCTCTCTGCCCAAGTCCAGAATGCCAGCTCTGGGGATATATAGCCCAAGATGCCCAGCCTCAGGGACATCCTGAATAACGCGGACAACGACTCACAACCGCGGGTGGCCTCGGGCAGTCCAAGCCTGCCACCGAACCTGCCTCGCTCGCTGCACTTTGCCAACTCGTTCGACCTGCCCACGCATCACGCGTCATCCTCAGCCAGCCCCTCGCGCGGCGACCCTCCGAAATGCGTGGCCTCTTGCCGGCCATTTGCTCCTCCTCCGCGGCCGCCTCAGCGCCGGGACGGCACCTGCTCCAGCGCCAGTGAGCCGCCTCGTTGCTCGTCCTCGCACCCCCCCTTACCCGCCGCCGCCAGCGCGATCGTGCCGGGCAAGGCCGTGCTCGGATGCGGTGACAGGTTAACAAGGCCTGTCACCATCACTGGCAGGGTCCTTTGGTTTAGGAGGGGTGACTTGATTCACACGTGCGCGCAGTGCTTCAAGACGTTTACCCGGGCGGAGCACCTACGGCGACACCTGCCCGTCCATACAGCGCCCAGCCTGGCCTGCGACGTTTCGGGCTGCGGCAAGTTATTTCATATCAAACATCAGCTGGTGAGGCATCAGAGAAGAGAACACGGGCAGCAGCAGGGCAGCGGAAGGCTGGCCTTGCTGCCAGGCGCCTCCTCCCAGCGAGAATGGGGCTGGCACTTTGTTCAGATGCGGCGACGAGGCAGAGCATGTGCGGAAGCAAGTCGGGCCAGCGCTGAACAGCTCCGGTCCTCTTCTGTTCCAAACGGTCTGAAGAGAAGCAGCAGTTGACAGCCGCAAGACATTTTCACGGGGAGGAATAAGAAACGCACACGAGAGGTCTGAATCTACAGGGGTTCCTTGGCCGCGCCCGGGGGCCAATGAGAAGGTTCCCGAACCAAGTATGAGGAGGGGCAAACGCAATCCGATTGAAGTCATACAAAAGGAGACTATCCGTAAGTAACTAACGTTTGTTTTTTATTAGGGAATTTCGTCACAATGTACTATTACCCTGCAGGCCAAAGACGGGAATTGTGACTAGTCAAGTCTTTGTTAACTGCTATGGCTTGCCAAGCCGGATCGATGCGTTGACAGCCTGTGAAACATCTAGTTACCGATGACTCTAGCGTGGTCCACCTACTGGTTCATTGTGCAGGCTATTGCCGTCTTTCCATCCAGTCTGATTAACGGCTCAGGTTATCCTCGGGGTTCAAGTGTTGCTTCCAATACGGGAAGAAGACAAGGAGGAAATCCAGGACGTGAAGACTAAGAGAAATGACAATATCGAGTTTCGCAAGCGATGAAACCTGCTAGATACGACAACTTGCAGAGACAATCGCTGCGGTCCGGGTGCAACGACGGTCGGGCGCAAGTGCCGGCGACCTGCCCGATTAGGCAGGCCGGTGCCAGGGGAGTCTACTCCGAAGGCAGCAAGCTTCTTAAAAGAAGATAGGCTAGTTTTTGGTCGTTGGCGATCGCTTTCCAAGGAACACGCAATACGACAAAACGCAAGTTTGTCATTTTCCTTCTCCCCGAAGTGGGCAGCGTTACATGGTTGGCAACTACGGCACAGAGAAAACCGGGTAGACAATAGTGATCTCTTGGTGCCCGCATCTATATATATTTAGCTGGTGCCTTAATCTAAAGATCCAAATTTCCCAAGCTTCAATCGCCAACCAAAGTCTTAAAAGTAAGAAAAAGTGATGCTGCGATCTGTCCAGCTTGCCCTCCTCGCCCTGGCCGGCCTCGGCGCCGCGCTCCCGCAGGAGACGGGCAACAAGTTCTACAAGCGCACCGAGGGGGACATTGAGTACAACGTGTTTGAGCACGCGGCGACAGGCACGGCGCTGAAGTACGTCAACAACTCGGGCATCTGCGAGACGACGCCCGGTGTGAACCAGTACTCGGGATACCAGACGACTGGTGAGTTGCAACGACCAACACATACACACACACACACACACACACACACACACACACACACACACACACAACCGCTGACAGAGGTTAGGCGACAACAAAAACATGTGGTGGTGGTTCTTTGAGGCGCGCAAGGACGCCAAGACGGCTCCCCTTGCTCTGTGGCTCAACGGCGGCCCTGGATGCAGCTCCATGCTCGGGCTGTTCCAGGAGAACGGGCCGTGCACCTTCAACGACGGCGGCTCGCAGCCGAAGCTGAACCCGTACTCGTGGAACACGTACGCCAATATGGTGAGCCTCCTACAGCCTCTTACTCTACTTGCCCGAACCCCTCTTGCTGACCCATCCCGCCCCAGCTCTACGTCGACCAGCCGATCGGGGCCGGCTTCAGCTACGGCGACGTCAACGCGGCCGACTCTACGCCGCACGCCGCACCGTTTATCTGGAATATGGTGCAGGCCTTCCTGACGCAGTTCCCGGACTACCAGAGCCGCGACTTTGGGCTCTTCACCGAGTCGTACGGCGGGCACTACGGCCCGGAGTTTGCGTACTACTTTGAGCAGCAGAACGCGGCGATTGACGCGGGCACGGTAACGGGCGAGAAGATTAACCTGGTTGCTCTCGGTGTTAATAATGGGTGGATTGACCCTAGTACGTCTCTCTTTCTCTCTCTCTCTCTCTCTCTCTCTCTCCCGGTCTTCTTCTCTAGCTCAGGCATCTGCTAACAATACCACAGAGAACCAGTACAAGGCATACATCGACTTTGCCGTGCAGAACAAGTACCGCCCGCTGCTCAGCGCCAGCGACGCGCAGCAGTACTACGACGCGTGGACCAACAAGTGCAGCCCGGCCTACGACGGCTGCTCCGACGACCCGAGCACCAACGACGCGTGCGCCTCGGCCGGCGGCACCTGCAGCCAGTACGTGGAGAGCCCGCTGGAAGGGCTCGCGCAGTTTGACGCGTACGACATCCGCGCGGACAGCGACAGCTTCCCGCCGAGCACGTTTGTCGACTACATCACGAGCCCGTCGGTGATGAAGGCCATCGGCGCAACGTCCAACTTTTCGTCGTGCGGCCAGTCCGCGATTGGGGGAGATGACAGTGCGTACTCTGGAACTATTTGGGTTGAAGACTGACATGCTAACAATCTGACGCAGGCGCTCGCTCGTTCTTGACGCAGTTGTCCTCGGTCATCCAGTCCGGCATCAACGTCCTGGTCTGGGCTGGTGATGCTGGTAAGTCTTACACAACCCCCTACTTCGAATCGAAGAGAGGTGCTAACTCATACAGACTGGATCTGCAACTGGATGGGCAACTACGACGCCGTCCAGTCCATCGCACCCCAGGACTTTGTCTCGGCGGCGATCCAAAACTATACAGTGGGCGGCACGCAGTATGGCGAGTTCAAGACGTCGGGCAACCTCAACTGGCTGCGGGTGTACGGCGCGGGCCACGAGGTGCCGGCGTACCAGCCGCAGGCGGCGCTGGCGGCGTTTACGCAGATCATGTCCAAGCAGAGTCTCAAGTCGACGTAAACAGCTCCTGTCAGTTGCAAGACTGTACAAAGAAAGATAGTACATATACACAAGACCTATGATAAAGAGCCACGAGTGTTGTCGAATCGTGCTAGCCGCCCCCGGAAGAGCGCGGCCCCCGTCATACAAACCCAGCAGCGTGACGAGCGCCATCCGATGAAATTTTTTTGCCCATATCCTCACGCATTGCCAGCGTCTTTCTATAAAAGGCGGTGGCGTATGCGGCACATGCATGTAGGCTGAGCCACCACGTCTCGGTACGGGAAACGGGACAAAAGGGACATTTGTTTTGATGAAGGCGATGGTGTCTTCAAGAGTATCTCAGTCCTAATATTTACACAACAGAGGTTGTCAGCCGACCAATTCATCACCGACAGCCAGTGGCTGAGTGTGGCTTAGCACCACAACCTACCCGATACGGATCTGTACCGCGAATGCGACAAGTAAGGGTCGTGGGCGATTCAGCCGCGAATAATAAATAATCAATCCCACGGAAATTGGTTTGCGCATCCGCAGAATTCTCTATGGCCTTCACTCATCATTCTTGTTCGGCACAGACAGAGACTCACCCAAAGTTATTATGAATACGCCGAGACGAGGCTACCACAGTCGCCCCAGCCTCGCCTAGCCTCGTCTCACCACGACCGCTGCAAAGCGGCATATCCTCTTAACATCAATATCTAAAGCCTCATAAACAAGTTCATCACCTTCATCTCCCCCCACCATCAACCCGGCCCCTTTGCGCCCGCCCCTCCGCCCGCCATGCCCTCGCTCGGCGCCGCCCTGCGCAGCATCCGCTCTCAAATCCCCGGCCTCAGCTCCGACCCCCGACCTCCCGCCGACCGCACCCCCCGCTATCCGCCGCTCCCTCCGTGCGCTCCCTCCGCTGTTGTCGCTGCCCCTCTCCCCTCCGCCACCGCTTCCTCCCCGCTCTTCACGCGACTCCCCGCCGAGCTCCGGCACCTCATCCTCGTAGCCGCCTTTGGCGACCTCGTCGTGCACATGCATCTGTCCCTCGAACGGCCTCCGCGCCGCCCCCGCAGGAACGCCCGCCGCGGGCCCGTGGCCGCCGCTAACTATGCGGGCCACCCCGGGCGCCACGCGTTCGACCCGGACGCGCGTCCCTTCTGGCGCTGGCGCAGCTCCCGCTGCCACTCGCACTGCAGCCTCGCCCCCGGACTCTGGGGCACGGCGCTGTCTTCGGGCTTCGGCGGTGACCGCGACTACTGCGTCGCCGGCGAGAGCTGTGGCCACCCCGGCGCCCCGGAGTCGTGCCGCCTCGGCGCGCTCGGCTGGCTCCTGACCTGCCGGGAGGCATACCGCGAGGGCTTCCCCGTGCTTCTCGGCGCCAGCACGGTGCGCCTGCACGGCACGTTCATGTTCGCGCGGCTGCCCGCGCTGCTCCCTCCATCCACCCTGGAAAGCCTCGTCTCCGTGGCGCTCTTCTGGGACCTCGGCTGGCTACCCGCTCACCCCCGGCCGCGGCCGCGCCCCGGCGACCACCCGGAGGAGTACGACTTCATGGAGGGCCTGCTGCGGCTGCTCGCGCGGCTGCCGTCCACGCTGCCGAGTGTCCGCCGGCTGCACCTCTCCCTGCAGTGCGGTGACTTCGGGGAGGATAGTGGCGCGGTGTGGCGGGCGTACGGGGCGCGGTGCCCGGCGGTACACGCGCGAGTCGAGGGGCTGGCGCGGATGGTGCTGGCGGAGGTGCTGCGGATGCCCCAGCTGAGCGAGTTTAGGTTGGCGCTGCCGAGGAGCATGTTCATGCCGTGGGTGCAGGAGGAGCTGGCCGTGACGCTGCGGTTCGAGGAGGCCTGTTGGGCGGAGCTGCCGGCGGAGGCGCTGCGGAGAGAGGTCCCGGCGGACTTGACAGGCGGCGAGGAGAGCGTGGCGGAAATGGATTCGTACTGGGTGGTTCTTGGGGTCTCGGACCTGCCGCCGTTGACGATACGCTGCTTCTGCTAGGATGACTACAGTGGGCTCCCTACATGAGACTATTCTGTGGCGTTGATCAAGAGCTTAGTGGTGATATTCTACGCTATCTTCTCAACCAGGGCAACACGTCCACCCAAGATGGTTCCTCGCCAGACATTCAACGCGGCTTGGTAAACACCTGTCACAAACGAGAAAGACGGCGAGATAAAAAGAGAGGATAAAGCCCAAACACAATCAAAAAGAAAACATACAACAGCCGGTGTTCGCTGGTCGTCACCGACCCAACTACTAATCTGCCGATTAACAGCTTGTCTATGGGGGAGCAGACGGGACCCCGAATTCTCTGTTATCTATGGTCGTATGTACCAGGCTCTTGTCAAAAACTGTATATAACCCCTGATTCCTTGCTTCTCTGCAGCCACCACGCAGCCGGTAGAAGTCAGCAGCCAGAATCCGTAGACTAATTATTTTCAACAGCCTATGCTGCAGAGTTGGAGTCTACTACCATGTCATTCCCCGCTTGGTCATCTGTTTGCTGTTTGCTCTGCAAGATTGTTGGTTTCCGTTGCTGTACTTCACAGTTTGCGGTACCTCGGACATTGCTGTGGTGGTGGAGCTGGGTGGTCGACCCGATCATAGGATGAGTGACAAATAAAGATGCATCAAAAAGAAGAGCCAAACTGGTCTTTTAACTGGCTAAAATGTGAGGTGGCTGCATGACTATGGGTATTATCGCGAACCAAATGGCCCTGCTGCGTGGTGGTTGTACCTATGTCAAGGCCAGTATGACCAGGTAGGCCCGACGACTGTTTACAAACTGCATCGAATGGTTCGTGTTCCCTAAAACAATCGTGGCAATGGAAGCTGACAGGATTATAGTTGCATAATGGTGGCAATGTGTAGAGATTTGCGCCAGCAGCAAGACGAGTCAGATTATTTTTGTTAAAGCATATGCAGCTTGACTGAGAATTACAAGTAGCACTAGGGATGCCACAGTTGAAGAAGCGTGAATGCAGTCACGTCGTAGTTAGTACAAAAAGCGGTCAAGCACTACAAAATGGTAGAATCAGCTAGGTGTAGAGCTCGTGCTCTGATCTTCTCAGAAGCCGTCATAATCACTGCTGCGGGGTGAATACCTCGGTTTAACTGAATTCGTTGGAAAGAGTATACTGGTCCGGGAAGTTCTAGTCGGTATTGGAGGTCGTTCACATTTGCTTCAGCTTTGGTGTCCGCGGATGTGGGTAACGATGGAGATGCTCCGACCAAATAATGTTTCGATGAGATAGGCCACAATTACAGATGTAGTTTCGAAAGCTGTGAACCGTTATATATACACCGTCTCTACCAACCACTCCGCTAGATGAAGCACCCGCATTTCCACATCCTAGATCAAGGCTTACGAAACCGACGCGCAAAGCACACTCGCCACCATCTTGCCACGCGTCGAGTGAGGAGAGGATGATTACAAAAGCCAGGTGGTGATATGAAAGGCAGAGTGCTCATAGTTGTCTCTCCATTCAGTTCCAAAGTTCTCTGCGCCAAATTGGGCGTCTATCGTCGAGGAAAGCAGCTGGCCCTGCGCCCGACATTAACAGCACAATAATTCCTCCTTATCCCTCACCAACTGCAGCGTTATAATCGTTGTATATGAATGGGATTTACGATTTCAATCTGTGCAGCCCTGTTTCTTGGAAAATGCTTCTGAAAGAGACGAGATGAACTGCCAGTCAACAAACGCCACCACGCGCCTTCAAGAGACGAAAAGTTTCACGATAATTTCTTCCGTAGCAAGGTCCAATTCGTTGTTCAGCGCTTTTTCCGCGTGGTGCCCCCACCAGCTGGCAAAGTAATCATAGAATGCTCCTCGCTTTGACACGGACGAAGTATCAAACATAAGATAGACGGTACAGGCTCTTGCCATGATTTCATGGCATTTGATCATGTACTGGTCATTGTTCAGAGCCCGCATAGCATACACGGCAGGTCTGATCCCTCGAGTTGCGATAATTTTAGTACTGTGTATATTTAAACTAACTCTTTTCTTAAGAAATAGACTAACTATAGACTAGGGATTAAGCTACTATTATATATATCTAGCTTTATTCTTTAAGTCTAGCCCTATATATATATTATAGTATTTATAATAATTCGGCCCTTCTTTATTATACTACTCTCTAAAAAGTTTAGTTACTATAAAGTATATAGAAGAGAGTACTATAACTAGCTATATACTTTAAAATCTCTAAAATCTAAGGAAGTTGAAAAAGAATAGAAAATTCTTAAAAGTAAAGAAAGTATAGCTAGGGGAATAAGTAAAGTTATAGCTAAATAAGCTAACTACTCTATCCCTAAACACTATATTTTTACACCTCACTATAGACACACTACGTCTAGGTTAATATTTTGTATTAATTAGATGTAGCCTAGAGCTACTTAGGTAGCCTTAGCTAGAGTCTTATAGGACTTAGGGAGCGGCTTCGTGAAGCTCCTAGAGCCGGCATGAGCCTCGCCAAGCTGAAGACTTGTTAGAGCCTAAGCAAAGGGTTAAAGGTGGCAAGAGATAGAAGTCAGTTTTCATGTCGTATAACAGCGACCAACTTGCCCGAAATCGGATCAACTCTTTGTCTACCATTGAAGTCCACGCCCAAGTCTTTCGTACTATCTCGAATCAGATGCCACATCCATTCGGGGCCACCTCTCTGCATTATCTAGTTAGCCGTCTTGCGCGAGTCACCATAACACCTACTGTATCTCACCAGGATAGCAACCCATCGCATCATGCCAGGCAGATATATCGTGCGACTACGGCCGCTGTACAGCGCGCCAGCAATGGCTTGGCTGACAGTCTCGACGTCCAATAGCGGAAACAAAAAGTGCAGCTGCCTCGTCTCGCCTTTGAAGAGCGGCGTCTTGATAAAGCTGAAGATGGCAAGCGAAAGGCGAACCCGCGGCGCGGGATGGTCGTGGCGGAGTTCCAGCTGGAGGGCCTGCACATAGAGAGACTGTTTGTTAGCCGCCTCTGGAAAAAAAAATATTAGACACACGCAACCCGGGACTACCTCATGTAGGGCGATCAAGCCTGCCTTGGTCGCAGCATAGTCGGCAATCTTGCCAGGAGGCAGCAGCGCGCTCATGGACGCAACGTTGACAATGTGGCCGTGATCCCTTCGAATCATCTCGGGCAGAAACTCCTTGCAGAGCAGGAACGGGGCGACGAGGTTCGTGTTGATGGTCAGCGTGACGTCGCTGTACGAGCCGTCGGCTACGGTAGAGCCTCGGCATATGCCTGCGTTGTTGATGAGCATCGTTGGGTGCCCGATGTCTGCACGTATGCGGTGGCAGAGGTCTTTGATGAGAGATGCGTCGCTAAGGTCGCATTGGTAGAAATGGATCCGGGCACCAGGAGGAAGCGTCCATGTCGGAGGCATATAATCGACGACAGCGATGGTGCTCTGTGGTCTTTCTGCGTGAAGACGGAGTATGAGGCTGGCACCGATGCCGCTGCTGCCGCCGGTCACGACGATGACTTCGTCTTTCCAGTTGATGGTGGCCGATGGTGTCCAGTTGTTGGCTGCGCCGTCGTTGAGGTATTCTGTTGCGCTTAGAAGCAGCGTAAGCGCGGCAAGCGTATATATCAGCCACTCCAGTAATGGAAAACGAGGTATCGGAGTTGGGAAGAATTCTAGCTTGGCGCACGATATAAGCACTGCGGTAGGCAGAATGAGGTGAGGGTGAAGTAGAGAGCTCCGGAGAATACGGGCAACATAGTCGATGACAAAGCCCTCTCTTGGAAATGCCATTTTTGAGTATTGCAGAAATTCCAGCAATTGACTGAGAACAATCAGAATATATCTAATCTAATCTCATGTTAAAATATATCGTTTCGTTATGGGTATTCGGAGTCATTCCGACATGGTGTTGCAATCGTCGGAACGGGCTCCGACTCTAGCCTGGACTGAATGGTATAGCTAGTGTTGACGAACAACCAAGGGAAGCAACACAAACCTACGGCTAGATTTTTTTATGCTGTTATCGAATGACTTCCCTTGTTCTAGAGTACTGCAAAATATGGCTTATCCATTTAGCTCTCGTCTTACGGTTCACGAACGAGCTAGACTTGTGCTACTGTTGCTTTGCATCGGTAAGACACTCCTATTTTCCCAGCACTCCGCATTTGAATGCTAACACAGTGGTTATAGTGCCGCTACGTCTGACCATTGAACTATCAAGGACCCTTTTAAATGCACTGATACACCGTCTGCCACTGAGGCTGTTCTTGACCGGCGCAGTCTTTCGCGTGGTGCTTGATACCCTAGAGGCACGACATATCCAACATCTCAGCAAGTCAACCAGAGCGACTTACCAGTCATGGGTCCAGCGGAAACAGGCCAGGCTGCTTAAATCTACAAAAAGTGAGCGCGCGACACGTTGCAGCGTTGACATCGAGGTTTTGGATGACGACGGCTCTGCATTGCTGTGGCTCGGCAACAGACAAACCGCCCAACGCGTCGTGCTCTTCCTCCACGGGGGAGGATACCTCGTTCCACTATCACCAGGACATTTGGAATGGTGCTGGGAGGTCTTTGTGACCACCCAGTTCGAAGCAGGCGTGGAGACAGCAGTCGCTATTCTCGAGTACACGCTCTGCCCCAGCGCAGCATTCCCCGTCCAGCTCACGCAAGCTGCGTCTGGCCTCGCGCACATTCTGTCTACGGGGGTGCTGCCGCGCAACATCATCTGTGGAGGCGACTCGGCAGGCGGCAACTTGACTATGCAGCTGCTCGCTCACCTCATCGATCCGCATCCGGGGGTACATGCTGTCCGGCTGGCAGAACCGTTTCAGGCCGCGTTCATGGTCTCACCGTGGCTGAGTATGAAGACAGGCGACGCGTCGTTCCGCAAGAGTCATGGCATTGACATACTCTCGGCGAGTATCGTGCAGACTTCTGTACATGCCATCTTGGGTGAGGTTGGTCAATCGCCAAGGCGTGCCACAGTGGAAGAGCGAGAGGGTGCTTTCCCGTTTGACAAGGATGGATGCTCTTTTCTGTCGCGCCTTCCGGATGTTATAGCCCGTATTTATGTATCCGTGGGCCAGTACGAGGTGCTGCGTGACCAAATCGTGGCTCTCGCGCTGGAGGCTGAGCGACGCGCGCCCACGCTGGACGTGCAGCTTGACAAGTTCGAGAAGCAGGCGCATGATTTCATTCTACTGGAGGGCATGATAAGGAGCCCGGGAGAGGCAACAAATGCCATGATCACGTGGCTGAGGCGGTAGGCCGAGTAACAGGTTCCAACTGAACTGTTTCGACCAGATAGTGACTCGAGATTGCATTTGAAATATATGAAGTAAAGACGTTTATCCAATCTCCAACAAATATCTATAATTTCCAGTCAACAGCCGTATGCTTTACTGCCGATTGAGCTTTGCATCTTCAAGAACGTGCAGTCTAGTAGCCTCGCGCTTTACCAGATTCTCGTACTCCTCACCCCTGAACGAAGCCGTGACAGGAAACGGCTCGTCAAGTGACTCTAAATACAGGCATTTCGAATTATAGGGTCCATACTAGAATAACTGCCATTAGCGACGCAGCCACTCAGTACCTTGCACTGGATGTAACTCACCGGTTCGTAGTCGATACACTGGACAAGTCTTGCTATATTCAAAAACAAGCTCCTCTGTGCCAGACGATAGCCGACGCAGATGCGACGCCCCCCACCAAACTGCCACAGACCATGCGCAATGTCCGTCTCCTTGCCGTCCATCCACCTCTCTGGGTAGAAGGCCTCTGGATGCTCACACTCATTTCCAACAGGAACCTCATTGATGACAAATCCAGTGCCCGCGGGGAAGTAGTATTCCTCAAACTCAATATCCTGCGTCGAAGTGTGTTCTGGAGTTAGGATGAAAATGGGTCTCCACCGCAGCACCTCCTTGGCCATGGCGCAGATGTACCGCAAACTGTCCATATCCGACAGCTGAGGCAGACGCGCTTCATCCGCCGTGCCACAGACGCGATCAACCTCATCCCTTGCCTTGTGGAACGGCTCGGGATATTCCACTGCAGCCATGACCATGATGTTGAGCGCCTCGCGCGTGGTATCGCTTCCTGCCTCGATGAGCTGCATGGCCACATACATTGCGTCATCGTCACTCCCTTTGAACTTTGTATCTTCATTCAGCAGCACATCGCGCGCAAACGACGGCGGCGCGGTCCCATCCTTCACTTGCTCCCGTACAGGCACCCACCACTTGCTGTAGACGTCGTAGTTCCAGTCGGCCAGCCTCTGCCAGTGCGGTTGCCAGAGCTGCAGCGGCCTCGGTAGGGTTGTCAGCTGCGGGAACCAGTCAACGACGCTGGCACCGATGCTTCCCACGAAGAAGGTGACGCAGTTTTGCAGGTCTGCCAGCTCTTGCGTCGATTTGTTCAGGCGCTCACCGAGAGCGATGCGGTGGATCACCGAGTTGGCGTACCGGTAGTGGTGCTTGTACCAGAGCTGCGGTTTGAAAAGGTACTCGGCCATCATCTGCGTGCTTTCGAGTTCCTGCCATTCGCCGTATTGGTGTAGCGAACTGCCGTTGAGAAGGCTGTGCATGACGCGGCGACGTTCCATCCACTGCTCTTGCGGCAACACGAGCGAGCGGCCGTTTTTGCTTACAATGCCGCTGGCAATGGGCATGGGGGATCGCGTGTTGGTGGCGCTGCCGCGCTTGGCGATGATTTCGGACACGACACGGTGACTGTTTAGGAAGATCCAGGATTTGGCGCCGATGTGGACTGTGGCCATTTCTCCGTAGTTGGCCAACGATCGTAGCTTATCACCAATGAGCAAATGGATGGCCATGAGGATGATGAAGAAACTCACGTATGTATGATCCGGGTCATGCCTGGCCGTTGCCAGATTGTGCATGGATCCTATAATAGGCAACCCGCGTGGACCAGGTGGCAGTTTCGACTTCCTGCCCGACGTGCCTCTTCGTTTTCCGGCAGGCTTCAAGTACGAGGCCAGCAACGCGAGTAGCGTAGCAATGCCGGCGGTGGTAATAATCGCAGCCCATATTGCTGTATATTGCGGTTTCCAGCTGGCTAGCAACTCGAACTTGACAGCCTGGCCGAGCATGTTGACATGTTATTAGCTTCGAGAAACAGGTATACAGCTAACAACCAAGGGAAAGAAGCTCGGCCTAGTTGAACGAAAGCAACAGTTGCCTTTAAACGGTAAAATGCTGTAAATAAAGACGCCATTTCTTTTTTGTTTCGAGACTATTCCTCGAGGAAATCGACGAGTACAATACTGAAGCGGAGGTCGGAATCGCGCCGACTGGTCCTTGGGTGCATGAGAGGAAGAATGGGCAGCGTCCGATTGCCGTGTCAAGGTTTGGTAGCTCAACCCTAACCCAACCCTAACCCTGCCGCTGTTGAGCTGCCAACCCCCCCCCCTCCCGAACACGCCGCTTCAGTTCCGATCGGACCAAGTCGCCACGTCGGAACCCATTCCGACGGCCAATGTACTGGCTCCGACATCGAATGAGCCAAGCTCTCAGACAGGAATCATACAGCCTCGGGCCAATCTGTACATGGCTTCGCAATCATTCCGAAGCAATAGCAATTGTCCCGACGAAATAAAGTACCTGCGCTCGGTGCAACGATGGATACAGAACCAGCAGACATGTCGCCCGGCCGAGGCGGAAGCTCCCGACACAACAGCCGTCGCCCGCGCGCAAAGATCCCTCTTGCTTGCGAGCCGTGTCGCAACCGCAAGTCTCGCTGCGATGGTGCCAGGCCAACGTGCACGCGATGTCAGCGGCGTGGGCTTGCGCGGGAGGAGTGCGTGTATAGGCATGAATCTACCGCTGGGGCCCAGTCTACGTAAGTACAGTACAGGCAGTAAGTGCGCTTGCGACGTCTCTGACACGGCCTCTAGATACATAACAGAACTCCAGGGCCGCGTCAAAGAGCTGGAAGATATCATCCGAAACAGCAGCAGCGGTACCCAAAACACACACGAGACTCTGTTATTATCAGACCCGCCAACCCGTCGCCTGCCGGCTTCTCCTCCCGTTGCGACAGACTCTTTCGTTGGCAGCCAGCCCCGAAATGCCTACAGAAGTCAGTGGAATGAGACTTACCAGCAGCCTTCCCCAGTGCCTGCTGCGCCGTCGGCTCCAAGCCCGTCGCCAGCAGGGCAGCGTCGAGGTTTAGACGGGATCCATCTCCGACAGCCTCTGACACCATCCCAGCAGCCACGCGAGGAGGCTGAGGTGACAGCCATGGGCACTGTCGTATCCGAGACCGGCCTGACAGACAAGCAAGGCGCCGAGGATCATACCTTTTACGGCACCTCTTCGGCAGCGGCATTCATCAGGGAGGCTTGCAAGAGCCTTGGCCGGTCTCCCTCTTCCGGTATGCCTAATCGGAACAATGCCGGTCATCTTGGAGGTCGTCTTGGTACACCAGTGTCACGACCGCAGCAAGCAGCAATATTCCCTCGCAATGGACATGCTGCATACTCCTTGTCGTTGCCGCCGCGGTCTTTGGCGGATCATTTGATCAGCTCCTTTTTCAAAAGAGTCTATCATCTGTATCCTTTTTTTGACAGGGCCACCTTTGAAGCTGCCTTTAGCAAGCTATGGGAAGCAGAGCCGACCTCCCCTGCAAGCGCGGCAAGCCCTCGGGATACTGGGCTGGGGAATTCCCTCAACTGCGGCTCGGACACCATGGTGTTCCACTGCGCCCTCAACGCCATGTTCGCCTTGGCTTGCCACTTCTCCGACCTTCCTTCTGCGGAGAGGGAGCCCGCGTCGGACATGTTCTTTCAAAAATCCAAGACATTCCTTGGCATCGCGCTCATCGAGCATAACAGTCTTAGCGTCGTGCAGGCGCTGCTCATCGTATCGCTCTATCTCCAGAGCACTGCGTTTCCCAACCGCTGCTGGAACAGCGTTGGCATCGCCTGCAGGCTTGCCCAAGGTGTAGGGCTGCACATTGATGATGAGGATGGCAAGGGCGGTTCGCTGGAGGCGGAGGTGAGAAGGAGGACGTGGTATTGCTGTGTGATTCTCGACATGTAAGCGATTTTGCTCGACTATCAACACGTACTAGCATGGCTACATCTTTATCCCACTAATATGAGTCAAATAGGAATGTTAGCATGACGTTTGGCAGACCACCCATGACCTCCACCATTCCTGACTTCAGGTCTGCAACATCATACCTTGGGTGGAACGAGAATGTCCACTTTGAGCGCTCAACCGAGGATGAGGATGTACGTTTCTTCGTGGAAATGTTTCGCCTTAGCCAGATTCTGGAAGAGATTCTACGCACGATATATCAATATCAGCCCTGGCGAGACAAGCACCAGCGAGACTCCCACTACGGTATCGGTAGATGCGGCGATGGGCATCACGGCAGACTTGATTCGACCATACAATTGGATGCGCACCTCTCTCGCTTTGAACAGTATCTTCCGCACTTCCTAAGCTGGACAGGGGGGTATGACAACGCCAGGCCACAGCCAACTGCAAATCATGCGCCCTCGCATTTCCAAATGCAGAAGAACGTTCTTCATGGACGGTGAGCACAACTCCAGCATCTCCCACCGAGTATATGGACGCTGACTAGCAACCTTCCGTCAGATTCCTGTACGTGCGGTTAATGCTGTACCGGCCATTTTTGTCTCAATTCTGGTCATCTGTGAATCATGCGATGACCCATCCGACACAGAACGGTGCAGGCGCTTCATCGTCGCTCCTGAATCGCGGTTTTTCAAGCCTCATCCAGTCCTCATTTGCGTCAGAGTGCTGCAAACATTGCGTTGCATATTCTATGCAGCTTGTTTCCTTGACTCATGAAAGCTTCCTGACGCACCACACCACATCCTGGTGGTGGAACGCACTCTGTAAGTGACCAGCTGTGTAACATGGACGTTCAGTCACTTACGCGCTTAATCAGACTCCTTCACTTGCGGATTCGTATTTATTCTTGCTCTTTCCTGTCCTCCAGTTCGCAGCCTACTCGATATCGGTGCTGTGGTGCAGTCGTGGCAAAAATGCCAGACTATCTTAGCGAGCATCTCGACGACGAGCTTTTCTGTCCAGAAGTCGCTACACTTGCTGCGGCGGCTGTACGAAGGCATGGTGACTTGCAGCATAGGTTTGTTAACCAATGTTTAAATGCGTATGCTATCTAACACGGTGTATAGTTAATGCCTCGGATATCGACAATGTTCCTGCTACCAGTCAGCCGGTAGACGCCGCCAACGAGGCTGGTGAATTGGGCATGAATGGGGACAACTTTACAAGCATAAACAGTACATTTGCTGAAACAATTGATACGGATATGATTGAGGCGCTTTTCAACTCTCTGGGATCTGGCGTTGGGTTTGGCGACGATGCAATCAGTTGAGCACTAATGACGGACATGTAGTATACTTGTCTCAGCTCAGCGCATTAATGAGGAGCGGCATTGCTGCGTAGTTGATAGTTGATGCCGTAGTTTGATAATCAATTAATCCACTGCTTATGAATACACACGCGTTTGAGGTTAGCCAACCTTGGTGGCTATTTTGTTGCTGGAAGCCGGTACCCCTTGGAGAAAGTCCACCACGCGAGCTGGCTCGTCCGAGTCGCAAACGTCAGCGGCGTCTTCATCGTGATTAGCCCAATCCATACCACTGCAATACATTTAAACTCACACAAGTCTTACGGCTTGGCTGGCGTGTGGCCAAGACAGGTAAAGGCTGGCGGAATCATCCCGACATCTCCTACTACGGCCTACCGGGACGTCGGATGCTTCCGATACGGTGTTTGGGCGTTGCATAGCAGGCGGCAATGCGGTGCCAACAATTCGTCCGTTGTTCGGTTGCAATGAATATCTAGACGGCAATTTAAAGGTAAAGGCGGCTCAGTTATTGAATGGCTCTGTTTTGCTTGCTGATGAGCGTATCAACAGTCCAACGCTCTGTACGCTTCATCATGGACTCGAAAAGTACACCCAGCAAGAGCTACAGCCAATTTGCGTGCATCGGCACTGGCTTCTCGGCCATCTGCCTCGGCGCGACGCTGAAGCGATGGTACAACAACGGTGACATTGTCTTCTTTGAAAAGCACAGCCAGCTAGGCGGCACCTGGTTCGCCAATACGTATCCAGGTTAGTTAGCATTTCTCTTCCTCATCTTTATCATTGATCATGCTGGAAACCCGCTTACCAGACCATTAATCAGGCTGCGCCTGCGATGTCCCCAGCGTCCTGTACAGCTACTCCTTTGAGCCCAACTCCAACTGGTCGCGCATCCTCCCCCCTCAGAGCGAACTCTGGGCATACCTCAAGGGCGTCTCCGACAAATACTCCCTCACTCCCAAGATGGCATTCAACACGACCGTCGAAAAGTGCGAATGGATCGACGCCCTGAAGCGCTGGCGCCTTCACGTCCGCCACCAGGCCACAAACACGCTCTACCATCACGACTGCCAATTCCTCTTCGCCGCAGCAGGCCAGCTTGCGACCCCTCGCGACATTGGTGTCCCCGGTGCTGGGTCCTTCTCCGGGCCCATCTTCCATTCTTCCCGGTGGCGGCACGACGCGAATCTCGACGACAAAAACGTCATCGTCATCGGCAACGGCTGCACGGCCGCGCAGATCGTGCCCTCCATCGTCGACAAGACCAAGCATCTAACGCAAATTGTCCGCTCCAAGCACTGGATCCAGCCTCCCATCGACGCATCCTTCCCGACGTTTCTCATGTACTTGTTCAAAGTCCCTGGTGTAATGATGCTCTTACGCTTCATCGTCTATCTTCTGGCCGAAAACGAGCTTCGTGGGTTTCCGTTGACGAGCGCAGCAGCCACCTTTCGGAACAGGCGCCGTGCCCAGGCGGAGCGCTACATGAAGTCGACAGCACCGGTGAAGTATCACGGCATGCTGATACCGGATTTCGAAATTGGTTGCAAGAGGCGCATCTTTGACTCTGGATATCTAAAGAGCCTGCATTCAGAGAAGCTAGAATTGACCAATGAGACGATTCTTGAGATGGTACCGGAAGGCGTGCGCACGAAAGACAGGCTCATCAAGGCAGATGTGATTGTATTGGCCAACGGCTACACTACCAACAAGTTTCTGCAAAACATGGAAGTTGTTGGTAAGAAGAGCAACTTGTCACAGCACTGGGATGAGTTTGGCGGCGCTGAGGCGTACAACTGCTCTGCGCTCAGCGGGTTTCCCAACTTCTTCATCCTTCTCGGCCCCAACGCTGCCACGGGACACACGTCGGCCATCATGGCCGCGGAAAACTCAGTCAACTACGCCCTGCGCATCATCCAGCCTGTTCTCAGTAGCAAGACTGGCGTGGTCGAGCTAAAGAGACAGGCAGAGGAGCAGTACGTCAACCAGATACAGCAGGATCTATCCAAGACGGTGTGGAATTCGGGGTGCCAGAGCTGGTACGTGCGGCCGACGGAAAAGGGCGGCAAGGCTTGGAATGCCATGAGCTATCCGTATTCGCAGGCGCATTACTGGTATCGGAGTGTGTTTGCCACGTGGAGTGATTGGACAATTCAGGCAGAGTAATTTCATTTTAGACCTGAACAATGATTATTAGTGTCGCTAATGCAGCTGGTGATTTTACATGGTCTGTGGCTCTGTCTTTTTACTTGGCGGCCGGCCGTTGGCTCATTTTAATAGGGCCTGAGTCACGACCTGAGTCGACCTGATATACTTTACAAGAACAGTAGCATGATAATCGAGCTTGCTTTTTGATTCCAATGAAATAGATCACAATCGAAATACGATGTCTCCCAATAAAGTGAAACAAATGCTAACAGAGCTCATATCAGTGCCCGTCCAGCTGTTCTCTGGCCTGCGCTGCGTCATCGTTCTCCTCCAGCCCAAATTCCGGCTTAGTTCTGTTCGCGTCCTCACCCCTGTCATGTGGTAAAAAGGAATTCTCGAGTGCATGGGCTTTGAGCAGGACGGTCGCATTCTTGTTGAGCTCTGCAGGCCTGATTGGGTTCCCTGCAGCAGTCTTTGCAAACTTGCTGTACTGCAGCAGGCCAGCGTAAATGCCCAACTTTGGAGCGTACGGGAAATCGCTTCCAAAAACGATGCGTGACGATGATGCCGTGGCGAGAAGCGCCTTGAGCTGCGCCTCGCTGGTAGACAGCGCAATATCGTACCAAAATCGGCCCATTGCAGCTTTACTATGACTTGTTTAGCGTGAAGGGGAACATCATCAGAGTAGAGAGGACCATACCCCTGAATAATGCTGACTTTGGACTGCTCCGCGATGGCAGGGCTCATTAGCGCTCCGATCCCACGCTGCGCAAGGAACGGAAACGCTCCTCCAGCATGGCTCAAGATGATCTCAATCTTGGTACAATGAGTCATGACGCCAGACACAATCAATGACATGGCAGCACGCGTCGTCGCCAGCGGATAATCAATCACTGGCTGCGGGAGGAACCCACCGATTCTTTCTGGCGTGATCTTGACATGGCTCGGATGAACGAAGACAAGCGCCGCATACTTGTTGAGTTCGTCCCAGATCGGCCTGAACGCTTCATCCCCAACAAGCTTGTCGCCGTATGACGTCATGACTACAACACCGTTGGCCTTTTTCTCTGTGCCAAATATCCACTTGATTTCTGCGATTGTGCCTTCCGTGTCGTTGAAGTCGGGTAGACTCGCGAAGAAGCCGAACCTGCCGGGCCGCTGCTGGCAGACGTCCCAGACTTCTTGGTTGAGAGCCCGAGCTAATCGTCGGCCCTTTTCAGTTGGTCCAAGGATGGCTGGACCAGGCGCCGTGACGGAGAGTACGGAAAAAGAGGACCCGATGGTGTCGCTGAAGCGGACACATTCTTCGAGAGTCCAGTTGGGGGTAGCCCAGCCGGAGGGGTCGCCGCCGGCTTCGTCGAGGGCGGCGAGGTAGCTTGGAGTGAGCACGTGGATGCTGCGTCCCTTGTTAGCTTGAAATCGGGAGATTGTAAGGAGATTGTGTGTACTGCGTGTCGATACGAGATGTCTCGCCACTGTGGGAGACACGATGGGTTATCGCTCCAGCAAGCGATTCAAGTGCCATGTTCTGCCATGTACATACGTCAGTTGCTGCCCACGGAAACATGCGCTGTAAGAGGTGAGCGTGGAGGGGATAAGCTCTTGCAGTTACAGCGCGGTATACGAAAATAGACGACTAACAAAGATACTAAGCATTGGTCCGATGAGTTTTCAGCGATAAGATACTTGTATGGATTCTGCCAAAAGGAAAAAGATGAAAGTTTATATAACCGTCAGTCTCGTGCTTACCAGGCTAAATAATGCAGAGTGCGGATCTTTAGCACACTAGCTAGGACTGAATCCGGGATGCTTCCGACATGAACTAGAAAGACCTCGGCTGGCTACCCGCGCACCCCCGACCGCCCCGGCCGCACCGGGGCCACCACCTGGAGGAGCACGACTTCATGGAGGGCCTGCTGCGGCTGCTTGCGCGAATGCCGGCCACGCTGCCGGGCGTCCGCCGGTGTTGCACCTCTCCCTGCAGGAGGAGCTGGGCGTGACGGTGCGGTTCGAGGAGGCCTGTTGGGCGGAGCTGCCGGCGAAGCTGCCGGCGGAGGCGCTGTGAAGGGAGGTCCCGGCGGACTTGGCGGGCGGCGAGGAGAACGTGGCGCGGAAAGATTCATATTGGGTGGTTCTCGGGGTCTCGGACCTGCCACCATTAATAACGATACGCTGCTTCTACTAGGATGGGTATTAAGAGCTCAAGAACTAACTACAGTAGCTACCTGTTAGACACTACTATCACTATTAGCTTATTAGTCCACTATAGTGACTCATTAATTTTAATAAGAGTTTAGTGTAATAAGTACACTATAGTAAACGGTTTTACTAACTTATTATTATTATAGACCTTAGTATCTTAACATTTTAATATATAAGACATACATTAAATATTAGATGATTAACACAAGACATGCATCGGGCATCAACAGCTGAGAGGCCAAGTAATGTTCCTGTCCGGCATTGGTGTTGTTTGGCCAGACCACCTAGGAGACCCGAGTCGGCACTTTCCATTCGTCATTCCCAACTCACGGCTGAAGCAAAGAATGTCATGCTTATAACTCCGAGGGCGACAAGCATAAATTCCCACAAGCCTTGGAAGTACAAAACTTACCTCAGCCACGAGTTGCAACTAACTTATCTCAAGATACTCAATCACCACCAAATCCAAACTCCCTCTCCCCCGCCCTCAAAAAATGCGATTCACCACCACTTTGCTCAGCATCGCCAGCCTGGGCTTCAGCGTCTTACCTGTGCAATCTGCGGTGCTCCCCACCGCTGACCTATCTGCCCGCGCCGAGGAGATGGAAAAGCGTCACTTCTATGCTGCTCCTGACGCCGTGGAGAAGCGTCACTTCTATGCCGCTCCTGATACCGTGGAGAAGCGTCACTTCTATGCCGCTCCCGATGCTATGGAGAAGCGTCACTTCTACGCTGGCCCTGACACCGATGAGGCATCAGCGGCAGCCTAAGTTTTCTAATGTAACGTTGCCTGGACGCGAAATCGTGCACAGCTGGCCTGGAGATGGCTTGGTTTTCCTCAGACGGAGTTTTACAACCATCTCCATTTTGATTTAATGGCGGCGCAGCAAAAACCGACGATTCCCTCACCGCCTTGGCCTTGAAGCAAGCATGTCTATTCATCATAGTAGTCTATGTATATAGATTATATTGATCTAATATTTATGCTTTTCTGCAAGTAAGCCTATCATAAGTAGTCTCTCAACCTGTCGAATGGTGCGCGAAAGCCTAGTTAGTAGCTAGTATATTATTGTCTATTACCACGAGTCGCTATTTTCCGTCTACGTGGAGGAGCTTCATGACGTTAGGCACTAAAATTGCATCATGCATGAAAACGGCGCTGAATCATCTCTCTCTAAGCAGCATTTACATGTACTCGTCAGGCATCGGGATCAGCGTTTCATTGTAGGCCGCACACATGGCCGGGTGATCTTCCGGGAGGGCCTCGATACCCAAATCAGCCATCTCTACATCCGAACACTATCTCTATGTCAGTATCACCTTACACTCCCCTCTATATTAGAAAAACTAACCTGGTATTCCGAGTTTCCTGTCCTTGGATCCTTTGCTTCAAAGTACATGACTCCCATCTCGCCTACCCTAGTTCGAAACTGAAGCGTTATGTTGACGCAGAGCTGCCCGGACGGCGCAATGGGCACATCCATTAGAATGCCGTGTTGGAATTCATCTCTCCCTCTCGGCACCCTGTGTCGGGTATAAAGGACAGTGACAAGGTCTCCGGGATGGCCAGAGAAGGAGAGAAAAGTGCGGGAGCTGCGGGCGTACTGCTGAGGATTGCGTGTAGGCTCCCCTTTGTTGGGTCAGCATGGCACCACTAGCTAGACTTGAGGGTTGGGGGAGGGGAGGTAAGGGTTGCTTAATTACCGCAGAAAGGGCTGAAGCGCTCGAGGCTTGGCCTAGTCCCGAGAGTCGGCCCACGGGTCGCCCATGGGAAGTGGACGTGGAAGCCAGCGTGGGCAGCGGATGCGAGGTTGATGCTGCTGCTGAGGGCAAACAGGGATGCGATTGTGGTGAGGACGGGGGACATGGTTGACGGCGGTGAGGTGCCGTGTGCAGAGCAGCGTCGAGCGAGAGCAAGATGAAGTACTTGCCGTGCCCGCACGGTCCAGCTCTTTACAGACCCTGTTACTGAAGGATGCTGTCGCAGTCATACCGTTACATTGAATTATTTCATAGATGGCGAGTATTATGTCACGGTTCAGCTGTGCAGCTCGTTGTAGCCCAAGCTGCCAAGTATTATGTCACGTTGCAGCTCTGCAGTGATTGTCTCAGGGCTGGTGCGCATCAGTTGTCGCTGCAGCCATTGATATCAGGCCTTATATCTTATCTTATGATATCAGGCCTCATATCAATAGCAGCTGTGCAGATTTAGCTTCCGAGATTGGCCCACCTTTTCGTGCAGCACAAGCCATAACTAATTGGTCAGCCCCAGTGTCGATCCGGATCGTGATACTACCCTCCTCTTCTGCAGATCTCCAGTAGCTATTGGTAAGATGGCCCGAATGGTTACCCGCTATGGAGCTGTCGTATAGGTTCCAGAATAAGTGTAGTCGAAAGGAGCCTGCTGGTACATAAAAATGCTCGCTTTCAACTACGGATCATCCTCTCGGGCAGTACGCTCGCTCTGCGCCTCTACCTCCTACCCGCTTGTTGCCATGTTCTCCTCAATGATGAGGCCCAGCTCGTCTCGGCATGAGCCCTTGTCTCTGCGTGCTACTGCTGATGGCTACAGCGACTCCAGTTCGACCCCCCAGAAACGGCTCTCGTCCGAGGACGACAGCTCTGTCTCCTTGCTCGAAGGCTCGGACAAGCTCCCCGCTCAAGCATCCCCCCGGCCCTCCTCCCTGGTGCGCAGGCTGGGTCTCTACCTGTCCTTGGCCCTGGCGCTGCTGTCAGTTGCAAATGTCGCTCTCCTGCTCGCCACACTTTCCATGTACCGAGACAACGACCCGCTCAAGGTCAAGGTCGCGAATCCCACCACCCCCCAGACCTACTACCACCGGGCTTGGCCGGATAGAATTGTCCGAGTGAGCCGCAAGTTGAAAAAGGCTGTATGGGGTCAGGCGGTGCAAGTCTACATCACTGTCGAGGTTCGTACCCCCCAACTTTTTTTTTTTTTTTTTGCTTTTTCTTATGTCGGGGCATCCACCCATCTTTTTGTTCTGTCTTCCCGCTCGCTCTCTGTGCCGTCGATCGCTTGCTGACTTTACGACAAGGACTCAACAATCATGCGGTTCCCCCTCCCCCCCGGCAGCGGCATCGGCAACGCCTGTACCCTGTCCTGGCGGGCGCCTCCCGAGCTGTCCGGGCGTGCCAAGGACCTGACTACCAAGGGGGACGTGTCAGAAATAGAAGTATGGCAGCTCATCGCCCCATCGGTCACCGCCACCTCGGCCACGTCTCCTTCCACCATGGACGAGCTCGACTACGACACCATATCGTACTCGACACTCCCCGTGCGCGGAGAGCTCCTCGGCGTGCTGAACCTCTCAGAGAAGCCCAACGACACGACAGCCGAGTTTGCCTGCCCAAGCGGAGCGGAGAGCCTTGTGGTGGAGATGAGATGCCAGCGTGTGGCGTGTCATCTGAGCTTCATGCAGATTGATTTGACGCCCAGCTTTGGCTTTGAGTTGCTGTCAAGAAAGTCCTAAGCCGGGGAAGAACGGACGGTGCCTCGTTTCGTGTCTTACAGTACAAAGCGATGATCTGCATCCATCCCCTTGTCACTCCGCCTGTTTTTTTCTTTCTACAGTGCATGTCTCGGAGTTGTATGAGGTGGGCCGGTGCTGGCCGGGCCGGTGACAGGGGTTCTGCAGAAATTATTAAAATTGTAATTTTCTTTTAAAAAAAATATAATATTTTGTGGCGCGATTTGCGTACTAACCAAGATGTATGTATGCGTTGTACACGCCTGTCTTCTGCTGCAGCATTGCGTGCCCTCTCACCGTGTTGATGTCGCGGGTGAGCAGACGTGATGCGGTGTGAAATCGACACGCTTTTTTTCTCTTCTTCTTTTTACTGTGTGAAATAACCCGTGTCATTTTTGGCTTGCCTCGGATTAAACCACCATTTCCCAACCATGAACTGAAAATCATGACGCAAGAGAATAACCGGCCACCAAGCAGCCGAACCCAGCACCAACCACTGATACCACCATCACCCAGTAACGAACACGCTGGCTCTAAGCGCACGGCGTACAAGATAATCACGCAATGCTTTATTATCAATACTTGCATGGAAATCGGTACAAGTCTCATCATAATCCCGCTGAACCCAATTTTGGAGAGCATCATTTGCCGCAACATCTTTGCAGACGTCTCTGGGGATGCGGACCCCCGCTGCAAGGACGCCCTTGTACAGGGAGAGCTCTCATTTATTCGCGGCTGGCAAATGACGCTTGACATTATTCCGGGCTTGCTGACGGCCATGCCCTACACCCTCATGGCCAATAAATATGGCCGGCCGCGTATCCTCTCTCTGGCTGTACTGGGAGGCAGCGTAGGCCTCGGCTTTGTCGTCTTTATCTGTATCTTCATTCACAAAAAAGGGCAATCAACTGGATACGAAGAGCTAACTCGGCCTGCAGGCTTCTTTCATTCGGTATTTCCACCTAGATTGATATGGCTTGGGTCTATATTCACCATGATCGGAGGCGGGGCACCTGTATTCAACACCATGAGCTTTGCCCTGCTCGGTGAAGCCAGTAATGAAAGGCAGAGGTAACAATACCCCCCGCCCCATCTACCTCCCCTATTTATATTCCTTTGGAGAGTGCTTGAATGGGCTAACTTGCGGAGATCAACCGTCTTCTTCTATATGAACGCCACGGTCATCGGCAGCCAGATGGTGGCTAGTCTACTTGCCTTCACCTTGATGCGCGTTAGTCCCTGGCTCTGCGTATTCTGTGGCATTCTGCTCTTTGTTCCTGCGAACCTGTGCGCGTTATTCTTCCCTGAGACGCCGAGAGACAAGGCGGGTTCGGGTCTACCATCTACAGCTGCAACTGCTCAGCCCGAGGATGACATGGGCAGTGCGCGAGGGCACATGAGGCGATTGGCCGATGCGATGGTGTGGTTTGTCCACGAGCGGCCGTTTGTGAGAGTATTGCTGTATACTTTGCTAGCGACTAGCGTTGGTCGCTCGTCGCAGGAAATCCTCCTGCAATACGTAACCCGGCGGTACAGGTGGTCCTGGTCCGACGTAGGTGATATCCCCGAAATCCATCGTTCCCAGCCAACCCCTCCCGCCTCCTTTATTTTTCCAACTCGAGAAAATAGACTTACAAGATTCATCGTAACAGGCCATTCTACTATTATCCATACAATCATTCGTCACGCTTCTACTCCTTACCATAATTTTCCCTGCAGCTACGCAATTCCTCACACAACTCTTCGCCACGCCCATCCAGATAACCAACCTCTACCTCGCACGCCTCAGTATACTAACCTCTTTCGTGGGCGCGTTCATCATTGGGCTCTCCGAAAACGCGCCTTTCATGATTTGTGGCCTCGGCCTATCCACTCTGAGCTACGGCTACCAAGTGCTGGTGCGAAGCTTGCTGGCTTCCGTTGTTGATGGCGACCATTCTAACGTCATGTACACCACAATCAGCCTGTTCGAGTCCGTGGGCTCAATCATCGCTGGCCCCTTACTCTCCGCTTTATTCCGGGAGGGTATGAAATGGGGAGAGGCGTGGCTGGGGTTGCCATTTCTGCTCACAGGTGTCCTGTATGGGTCGGCCACCGTGGGCCTATTGTCAGTAGGAACTGTCATAGTGACCGTTAGGCAACCATAGATACCACCCAATGGCATACTTTGATGAAACGGAAACTGTCTGTTGCGAGCCCTAAAGAATGTGACGCGAGGTCTCTTCTTATGTATGACAGATGTCCTCAATACCGTTTTCGCGGAACTGGGTGCAGTCCTAATACTCCGCCAAGTGTAGGCCTTAGGCTACTTGGTCCACGTGCAGAGTTTTCAATAAATATCCAAGTATAGTGTATGATTTATATATTACATGTAAGCAAAGGCTAATGGGCTCCGAACCGCCATGTTGGTATGGTTTTCAGGGGCTGCCTGTTCCGTAAAAGCCAGCTTCAACCCCTTCCTGAACAAGAGACACTGACTTGAGCCGCCATAACGAAACGTCCCTAGCTCCTCGCCTTTCGCCACTGCCCGCGGCCAAGCCGTCGCAAACTTGGGAGCAATTTCACACGTCGACACGTCGGCCATGCCAACGGCAACGAAGCAAAGGAGACCAACTGGGTCGTCAGCCTGGATGAAGACGAGCGCCCGCGTAGCCGTATGGCTCAAGTACACATGATCAAAGTTGGGCGGGACTATAGGCTCACTACCTAGGCCGTTGGTGGAGCGCTCGGAAAAGTATGCGCCGCTCACGACCTTGGCAAAGACGACCTGGCCCGACGCCGGAGCGTGCCATCGATGGTACGCGGTCGAGTCGATGACTGCCTGGTACACTGTGCCACCAACGAAGCGAGCCGCCCACTCGTGATGGTCGAGCATGTCCGCGACCGAGTAGTTGGTACCCTTGAGCCAGAACTTGTCGTGATGCTTGGCGCACCGCTTGATCGCGACCGGCTTCGACTCGCAGGCATTCACCACCCATTCTGGCCTGTCCGGAAACCCCACGGGGCGAATCCTGTCCATGTCCCTGAACCGCCGTGTGAAGAGGTCATCCCAAGACTTGAACCCCCAGTGAACCGGGTCGCGAAGCGCATCACACTCGTATAGTTCTCTAAAAGTATACCGATGGCGGCTATCCATGTTGGCCATCTGCTCAAAAGCGGCGATGGCCTCCTTTGACAGCCAGCCACTACTGTCAGTGGTTATGACACCCAGAGATTTGCTCGTCGCGAGAACATTGTCGCGCCAGGCTTCCAGCACGTCTTTAAACCTTGCATTGACATCGTCGTTGAGGAAAAAGGCATGCCCGCTGGGGGTGCCCATAGGCCAGTCGAGAATGGCCTGGAATGGAAGGCCAACTAGGCTGAGCCCAAAAGCCGGTGTGAACATTGTCCACCCCGGTGCAACCTCTGTGGCGGCAACGTTGAGGAGATCAAGCATGTGGGAGTACCCGCGCACATGGCTTCGAGCGCGTGTGCCGCGCTTGTTGTAGGGGATCTTGTTGGGCACTTCCTCAAACATGGCTGACGCCCACATTCGGAGATCGGTCCTGCTTTCGATGAGGCCCCTTAGACGTTCAATGGCTGCATTAAGTGGAAGAGGGCGCTCGCGTGTGTCGACCTGGTGGATGAAGCCGGGCAGCCACTCTTCATGCCGGCCATGGACAAGCTCGCTGTGAGTATTTTTGGGAGCTAGGCTGTCTTGTGGGGATGAGACAGAAGTCTTGGTCATGACTGTGATTTTATCCGTCCAGCAACGTATGCATGAAATCAAGATGCTGCGTTGCGTATGATGCAGGCTGCCTGCTAATTATAAGTGTCAACGCTTAGGTGATGAATTTAAGACTGGCCATGTTGTCTCAGGCGAGGGCCCATTGTCTCGAGAACGGATAGACGGCTGGATTCATAGTTAACCCCGGTTTTATTCTACAGAGATGCATGGTGTGCTGTCAGACATGCGTGGTAAGACATATGCAGCAGACATGCATTCTAATATTGGCTTGGTGGAGTGTCCTCTCGGCACTTGGTGTCGTAAATACAACTGCTACTGAGCATTCTTGCATCTTCGTTACAGACTGATCGACCTTGTTAAACCAAGGTGCATTTTAAACTGAAATATCAGGGCTAGGTGGACTGCCACCTCAGCCCATACCTGGGCATTTGGGAGGCAACTACCATTGTGAAGCTGTTGTTGACATGGCCTACAGGAACTCATTATGCATACCCCACAGTTGCTTTTTGGCTGAATTAATCTCGGGATTTACTGCAGAAGTGCATTTCAGCTGCTTTCCTTTCAGTAGCTGGCAGGGTGAGATGGCCTGATGTCTCGGATCCGTACCTAGCTGCCCACCAGTAAGTAGGCTGGCATTGTCCTGCTGTTATAATCTCATTAAACATGCCATGCTATATAGTTATGCCATATTCAATCCTATCATAAATCCCAAGCTTCACTAATCAACGAGGTTCGCATTCAGATAAATACCTTCTATGTAATGGCCAAAGTGGAAGGTGCTGTTCTGACAGATGCATCAGTATTGGGCGCGTTACACATGAACGCACTCAGTAGCAACTATTTCTCAACCATGTTCCCCGCGCGGGATGGCATCGGCGAAGAGTACTGCACGACTGGCTGGCGGCGTTTATTGCAGCATCAGGAAACATCCCAAAACAGGCTGTACCCGAAAATAAGCGTGGTTCGCGATGAAAGCGGTATGCTTGGTGTTCTTATAGAGCGCTGTATAATTTTCAGAAACACCATCTAATCCAAGACAAAATATCATACTCGAAAGGGAAAAAGGGGTTGTTAAGTCTGCCTGCCTCCTCTTCATAATCCCAGACAAAGAAGCCGCACACATTCTCTACGGCCCTGCGCAAGAGCGCTGGGGGGCTCCTTTACCTGGCATGGATATGGAACTTTTGCACAGCTTCTATACTGGCATGAGCGTTCAGCATCAGACAACTATGGGCGACAATCCGCATATATGTGAGCATTTCGTCCCATTGCCACCTTTCCCCCCTGGCCACTTCTGGCTCAGTGTCGGCTGGCACAAGTACATGTTTAAAGGGAAACAATAATGTGCTGGAGAGTAAAAAGCAACTAACAGTATACGCGAATTCTAGATGTTGAACTCGTCATGACTCATTCCTCGTTTCGAAGGCGCGGGTATGCCAGGGCGTTACTGCAATGGGCTAATAAAGTCGCTGATGAGCTGGGTCTGCCTCTTTATCTCGACTCTGGTGAAGATCTCGTGGGACTCTACAGGACCATGGGCTATGTGTTGCAACCTGAGCGGTTGCGCACATGTGAGACTATGGTGCCAATGATTCGGGAGGCTCTGAAGGGTTAGGCAAGCATGTCATACCTACTCGGCCTACAAAGATGGGTGTTTGAGACAATTCTTATAGCAAGAATGAGTCTGCTGCTTAACTAGCCAATGAGAGGCCATCATTCACTGCCTGCTTGCATAGGCGTAAAAGTAATAGCTTGCATGCTTGCCTCGTCGCTTCATGTACAGCTAATCGACAAGCCTCGAAACACCGAGTCCGTCCCATAGAGGCAGTACTACAGTCTGCAGTCTAGCATGATCTTTGCAGTAGTCATTATAGGCCCGCACGCCATCGACAAAAGGATTGGATTTGCTGTCCCCATCAAGCACATGGCCTTCTTGGAGCACATTGTCGGCGACAATGAGCGCGCCCGGGCGGAGCAGGCGGCCACCAGAAACGCTCCCAGGGTGAGAGGCGGCTAGCAAGTATTTTATATACTCGGGATTGTTGGCCTTGTCTGCGTCGAGAAACACGAGGTCATACGGCTCCTCCGTGGTGGCTAGTTTCGGAAGACTGGTACACATGGCGGGTTAGTTAGCCCACGAACTGTACCGGGACAGCTTCGCAAGAGGTGACTGACGTACGTTTCCAAAGCCGAACCAACGACAATGTCCACGTTGTTCAGCCCGCGTGCTGCTATGGCTTCGGCTGCCAGCTTTGCGTACTCGGCGTTGGACTCGAGACCCGTCACGCGGCCATCCGGACCCACGGCGTTGGACCATACCATTGCTGAGTAGCCCAGATAGACGCCAACTTCGAGCACTGGAGACATATCAGATTGGGTTTCAAATTCAAGTATCTACAATGTGGGTGGCCTCGTCAGGGCAGAGCACATACCCCGCTTCGCCCCAATCATGGCCGCAAGCAGCGTGTGAAACTGGCTCTGGAAGTTTGACGTCAACATCATCGAGGCTTCATGGCTGGATGCGTCGGCATGATAGTCGATAATGTGCTTGGGCAGCGAGCTCGAGTGTTCCGCCGCGTATGCGGTGACTCTCTGGATCTTGTCCATGGAGCTGAAGAAGCTGGGGCAGTCTGGTCTCATATCGTCGCCCAGTCTTTAACTTAGGGGGCCAGTTGCGTCGAAAGCTGCGAGGGCAGAACACAGTAGCGTTCACACTGGCAAGTTTTATTAGAAAACAAAAAAACTTGTTGAAGGAGTAAGGTTTGTAGGGAGCCCCGTGGTGGTCAAGGGGGTTGATTTGGCACCCCGCAGCCCAGCCCAGGAGGATCGACGAGGCGCGACCGTTTCTTGCCTGGTCGCTTCCTACTCGTGCCCAACTATCCCCGGATAAATGCAGATTGTTTATTAGCTACAGTACTTAGATTGGGGACACTATCCAGAATGCCAAACTACATGCACCAGCTGAACTCTCCTGACGGCAGACAGGATTATGACGGAGGGACCTGGGTAGTGAGAAATACAACCTTGAAGCATTGAGGTATTTGATGATCCCCGCTAGTTATGCAGTCGCAGACGTGAGCAGCAGACAGCCCGTTGTGACCTCGGCGCGGATGACACACCAATGCAGGTGAGGTGGCTTCGCGGCGCATAGATGACGGTCTTAGTATGTATCTCTTAATGCCTCTCCCTACTATACCGCACTTTATATTTTTAGTCTCCGTACACCTGAATTACCCAGACCACTTATTTAAGCCGTAGCTATTCCTACCCCAACGTCACTGCGAGCTTGCTTCAAGGCCACGGCGACAAAGCAGCGCTCATCTATAACTCACCATAGGAAGCTGCCTGAATACAAACATTCCCCTCTACGCTCCTCATAGGCATTCCTTAACCAATTTGGTCAACCAGTTAGTACCTCGCCGTTCTTGTCTGTAGCTAGGCTTCCATCTGATCCGTACAACAGGTTGCTAACCCAATCTCTGCTCTGTCACTCTCCCGGCTGCATCAAGGCTATGGACCTATCGTCGTTGCTTCTCTACGTATTTGCCCTTCTCCAAGCCCTCGCCATCCCACTTCAAAGCCTAAGCTCCTCACCTACGTTGGAGCGGAACGCCGGACCACTACCAAAGTGCGGCAAGCTGACGCCACGCAGGGAGTGGCGGACATTGACAAATGGCGAGAAATCCCGGTGGGTAGGAGCTGTCAAGGTGAGCTGAGTCCCTTTTTCTTCTCCCAGAAAACGTTGAAATAAACCGAGTATACCGAGTAGTGCTTGGCGAGCATAAAACATCAACGACTATCCTTGACGGCGGATCAGACAATGCTTCAGGGACAGAGGAGCCTTTACGACGACTTTTCTTATGCGCACGCATCAGTGGCACATAGTGTGCATGGCAATGCCTACTTTTTACCATGGCGTGGGTTGTTTTTTTTTTTTCCTTTTTTTTGCTTTTTGACCCCCTAACCTTTGCCATTTCCCACCTAGCCTACTTAATAACCTATATGAGAGTAGACAGATGGTTTACCACCTTATTCGATACCTCGCTGCGTCGTACTTGCGGGTACGTTGGACCGACACCTTATTGGGACTGGTCGCGCGACCATGCCGACCTCTTTGTCGCGCCGGTCTTCGAGGACTCGCCGGAGCACGGGCTGGGCGGCACGGGGGACTGCGACTCCTTCCCAGAGGCTGACTGCACCGTCACCACCGGTGCGTTTGCTCGGGACTTTGAGCTTGCGTGGCCGATCCCTCACCCGCTGCGGAGGAACCTGACGATCCTCACCGGCTGGTATGCCCATGAGCTGCCCCAAAACAGCACCCTGGGCCCGGACTTTGTGCGCAACACGACCGAGCAGACCACGGGCGACTTTTTCAGGTTCCAGCATGCAATGGAACTTCTCCACAACCACGTACACAACTTCGTCGGAGGCGACATGGGGGGTGACTGCCCGAGGGCCATTCCGGACAAGGACTGCGACGGCGTAGCGGACACTTTCACGCCTAATGATCCGCTCTTTTGGCTGCACCACGCACAGCTGGACCGCTTGTGGAGTGAGGTACGCTTTCCCATGACATATTGGCTCAGTCTTGTCTGAGACAAAGACTGGATGCGATGCCAATGCCAGAGTTGCTTACATAGGATGACGGCACAGTGGCAGCGAAATCACCCATCCAACTTCAACGCCTTTTCCGGCATGCCTCTCGGCCCCCATAATGGGACTGACCCACGGTATGACCCCTACGCGCACCCTCATCATCCGATGCCGTTCGATGTTCAGAGTGTGCCCGTGACGCCAAGCAGCATATTTGATACAGAGAGCTGGCCGCTGTGTTATCGGTATCTGGACTAGCATTGCTAAACAATTCACTAGAATAATATCATTTTTCCGTGTTTGGGCACATGATCCCATAAATGATCAGAGTGGGGAAATGATCTTAATCACCATGTATTCGACACAATTCAGAACAGCTAAAAGCCATGCATCCATTTATTCACGACCCCCAATTCCCATTTTTATTTTGCGGCCCGTGCTGGTGGGCCGTTGTCAGAGAGGCTCCAAATGGTTTTCATCATTAACATACATTCCAGTACAAAGAATACAGGGGCTCAAAACTCCGTCTCGTATTAGACTTCAGCGTATTTATAGACGCCGAGAGGTCCATAGCTCTACTGGCAGCTAGCAGCCTTTCCACTCACAGGGATAGATTAGGACAATAAGACTTTCTGCTTCTAGTTGGCACCAAAGCTATCCAGCTCAAATGGTTACCTAGAACCACTGAAAAAGTGCATTACTCCTGTCTGCCTTGGCGGTTCCGGAGGCAAGCTGAAGGGGCCGTACATTGGTGCGGGGCACTGTCTGTTGCAGTCAGTTAGACTTACAAGAGAGGTCATTGATATTTGTGATATGGTTGTGGCTTTCTTGGATCACCGCCATTACTCTTGCTGTCTGCCAAAATACGCGACTCTCCATAACGAAATATCCAGAGCAAATTGACCATCCGCATCGTTCATGAGGCAAGTTTACGGCTCTTCTGACGTCTTGCACTTTGCTAACAATTGTTGGGCAATAGTTGATTGTACATAGTCGCTGCATTCTTAGCCACTCTATGACGACATTCTGCATTCACATTATTGCTTGAAGTGTTCCGTTGCACCTCCTTCACGTCTGCATACGGATTTCCGTGCTAGGTATGGATCACTCAGTGTGCTGCACAGACTGCAGAGACTTCTTGCAAAAATGTCACGGCAACAAGTTGTCTCGACTTGAGCAGGATCCTTTCGATATGGCATCGGACCGTTTTCACGATAGCATTAACTACAGGAAAACCATTGCCAAAATTAAAACTACGGCAAATACAGGATGCTTCATCTGCACCATGATAATCAGCAAATTCGGATCTATACAGCCCTACCTATTATCTGTGGCTCAGCTACATGGCGAATCAGCTGTTTTCCGTGTCGTCATACGTCCTAATCATAATACGAATCTTCAATCGGACGAGGTTATTGATAGACCATTTTTTTGCAAATCTGCTTCCTACAACAAGAGATTGAGTTTCGCTTATGGCGCGTAGTGGCTTCGCATATATCAGACAAGGTGTTGTATGATGGCCATAGCACAAAATCCGAGAAAGGCTTCGCCAGGGCAAAGGAGTGGCTACGCAGGTGTATGACCGAGCATGGCAGCTGCAACAAAGGCAATTTTTCCGACCACTGGGTTTCAACCAGACTTCTTGACGTTGGCGCAGGATCTCCCTACCATGATACTATCCGACTGCGAGAGACCGGAGTACGGAACAGACCTACAAGGTATGCCGCCTTGAGCCATTCTTGGGGTGCTGTACAGCCTTCAAACTGCTGCAAAATAACCGACACGAACTGATGAAAACCATATTTGTCGACGACCTGCCGCAGACTTTTCGAGATGCTGTCTTTACCGTCAGAAAGTTGGGAATCCAATATCTTTGAGAGATTCATTATGCATCATTCAAATTTCGAGCGATGACTGGGAGCGCGAGGCTTCATTGATGCAGCATGTGTATGGCGCATGCTTTCTGAATATTGCAGCTACTGCATCGAGTGATTGTACTGGTGGTCTATTTAAATGTCGGCCCTCTTATGTCGGCCCGCGATCGATAATTTTGGAGAGTGAAGTCGAGGCAACGTTATCGCAGTATCAGTTATGGAATCAAAGCCTTTGGGATATCGAATTTGGAGCCTCAAAGCTCAACACACATGCTTGGGTGCTGCAGGAGCGATGCTATCACCACGCACGCTTGCATTTTCTCGAGAGCAACTCTTTTGTGAGTGCTGGTACAAACGTGCTTGTGAAGAGTTTCCTTTAGAGTACCCTACAGAGCTTTTCGAAAAATCGGACAGGGACTTTGAACAACTCGACCTCGGGGATAAGCTAAAGATCTCTGTCCTGAACCGCCACGCCGATAGCAGATCCAAGGACCAGGTAGATCGACTTAGCCTTGCATGGCATAACCTTGTCATGCTCTATTTACGTCTGGACATGACCTTTGAAAAGGATAAACTCATTGCATCAGTGGCCTCTCTACTCTACTCTCGAAGCATATGAAAGAAAACTACTGGGCCGGGCTTTGGAGTTCTACCTTGATGGTCGACCTTCTCTGGGAGGCTGTCATTTGCACTGATATCGATCACCGGCCAGAAAGCTATAGAGCGCCATCTTGGTCATGGACCTCCGTGGGATGCCCTGTAAAATACCATCCCGGTCGGATAGATATCATGCATGCCACAGTCGTCGATGTCAAGATTCAAACATCCACTGGTGGCAGCGATAGGGGAAAATTAGTTGGCGGCAACCTGCGCCTTAACGGAAAACTGTTCGCAGACATTTCAGTTGCGCGAGGTCCAAACCAAAACTACTTCCTGACACATAACAAGGCCGAGGACATCTCACTAAATGCCCCTTGCTTTCCAGATGACATTTTGAAAGATTCAAAGAGCGAAGAGACGCTGCTTTTCCTCTCACTTGGGTCGTTTTGGGACTATTCCAGAGCAATAGGATACCATTATGAATACAAAGGCCTTGTCCTTTCGCCGGCAAAGAAGCAGCCTCAGGGCTACTACAAGCGATGGGGTGTGGTTGAATCCCAGGGGTAACAATTCTTCAAACCCCGCTCCAATCAAGCGCCAAGTTGTTGTTATATCGCTGGCGAGGAGGACTTAATTGTCATCGTATAAGTTTCAAAGGTTGCGTTGATTGCATTCTGCCCAGTTGCCGTCGATTTCAGGGAGACTATTCTTCCTAACCACCTATCACATCGCAACACTATGACAGGAGTAGTGGTGCGGGTGAGTGGCCGTCACTTGCCGATATTCCCATCTACTCTCCGTAGAGCGCGACCCTGACGTCCGTAATACAGATAGCGCTGTTTAGCGTCCTAGCTTGTCCATTCTTCTGGCCTAATAAAAAGACGATCCACGTATGATTCTTCAATATAGGAAGCAAGAAATGCACGGTATTGTTGTTTCGCGGACTCTTTACTGAGATAGAAGTCAAATAATTCTCTTAGCTTACTAGATTATTATAGTAATCTATTAAGCTATTATATAACTGTTTATCCTATTTAGACACTAGTATATCTAACTATAGTCTAACTCACCTAGCCCTATATATATGCCTATAGTATTTATAATACTTTACTCTTTTCTAAAGAAATTAATCTACTATAGATTAAGGATAAACTACTATTATATATAGCTTACTGAATATTAAAGAGATCTAAAGAAGATATTTTAATATATACTTTAATTAATGAATAGATTCCTTTAGCCCTAGTAGCTATAATAGTTTTTATGTCTTCAATTATACTATTAGCCACTTTAAGTAATGAAACAGAAAGAGGTTGTCGAATAAGTATCAAACAGCATTAAAATTGCATTTCACCCAGCAACGTAGCCAAAATATCACCTTAAAAGTCCCCCCACCACTTTTGTCTAATAGTCTCCATCCGCAGTTCATTGGGCCACGGGTCGATGAACTTTGCTGCCATGTTTTGCCATGCTATCCTGGTTTTGTTTCCGAGCCATACAGACGTGTACTCCCAGTAACGAGGAAGCCAACCCGAAAAATCCCAGTCGATGATGGCTTCGATATTTCCGTCCCGGATGATGATGTTGAAAGGGTTCAGATCGCCGTGGGTAAATACAGGTGCCTCCCTATGCCGCTCCTGCATAGCAATCATGTACTGGATGTCCGCCCATTCCTCATCATCAACGTGCCGTGGCTTTTGATCTGGCGCCAGGCCTTCTCTTAGCCATTCATGAAAAGCCGTTACCGAAGGGAACGGCCCGAATCTAGGCGTCGATCGAGGAATACGAGAATCACGGAGTGAGCCCCCCACGCAACTCTGTATTGCGTCTCCAGGCGCCGGAATCGCGCGCAGCTCCTCGACCATACCTCGGAGTTGCAAGAGAATACGCTCGACATTCTCCTCCGATAAATTCGGCCAGGCATCAGCCAGTGTTTTCCCACGCATCCGCTCCATGACAATATAGGTAACATTTCGATGGGTAAATGAACAGTGCACCCGAGGCACTGGAATCCTGGTTTGTGCAGCGACAAAGGCCATCGTCGCTACCTCTGTGAGGTTGACGTTGATGCCCTTCTTCACAATCATTCTGCTGGAGATGGGCACACAGGGGCCATCGCAGTTATAGAATCGAGCCGTGGTTTTAAGGGCAAGTAGCGTGAGATACCTCGGTATTGAGCTGGTATTTATTGCCAGACTATTGACATTTTGAAGATTGCTGCAGTCTGCCATCGTTGGGTATATATTGCGCGGAGGGTTAGACGGAGGGAGAAGCGTGGTACGTTGTATTCCACCTCGTGCGCCCCTGTCATAGCCAGAGGGGGGTGGCAGATTTGTAGGGATGCCTCTGTTGGGCGGCGATCCCCTGAAAAAGAATAGCGGGGCCTCTTAAGACGTATTAAGAATATATTATTAAGACTTAGGCTATATTCTTATCCTTACCCTTAAGCTTAATAATAATTATATATTAACCCTTAAAAATATATCTATTACTGGGATTGTCTGATCGGATCTTGCCTTTTCCCTGAACTCTGGCTCTGGACCTCGGGCATACCGAGAAAAGGTCCAGATTGAAGGCTTCTCGGCGGGTATCGAGCCAGTACTGGTATGAGGGCTGCCAGCAGCACTTGGCCCCAGAGAGGATACGTTAACGTGGAGGGCGTTGTAGGGGTGGTAAGGGATGACACATCGTCAGACAAAGACATGATAGGAGATTTCTTGGATTATTTTAGGAAGTTAGGCTCCCGCGTTAGCTTAGGTTTACTTGTTAAAACGTGATAAAAATGTTAAATTCGGATTATCTGAAGATTAAATAAAAGAAGTAACTGTATACGACTATTTATCTAAGCACACTTCGCTGCTGTAGCGAAGCTGCAATAGATAACTCTACTTAATACAATCCTAAGACGAGAAGTCGTTTCATACAATACGGCAACGTAGCAGTTATAAAAAGCAATTCTACTTATTAAGGCTATAATAGTTAACATATAAGTGTATAATATTATCTTACAATCTTATTATATAATGAGATCTAATTGGCTAATCAGGTGTGGGTAGAGTAAGGGTTACTACCCATGTCTACTTAGCTCTACCTAAGTAGAGTCGGCGAAACACCTGCTCCACCCTACCCAGGTAGAGTAGGTAGAGGGAGCTCTACAATCCCCAGGTATGGCCAAGAGAGATGTTATGCCCGTCAAAGTCTTTAAAGTCCACCTCACGCTGGGGAAAATGAAGCGTATCTAACAGTGCCTCCATCATCCCACTACGCCGCCCCCAATTCTCTTCAGCAAAAGCCCTCATCAAGTCGGCACCATTAAGTAGAGTGCTAGAGCTCCAGAGCTTACCATCTCTCACCCAGCGCCTATCCACCCAGTCAACATCAGGTGCCATACCCTTTGACACTTCGAGAAGAAGCCTAGGCGCTGCCACAGTCTTTCCCTGGAGCAGTCCCGCCTCAAGAAGCGGATAGATGCCACCACAAATCGTAACAAACGCACTGCAGTTATCGAAGGCCTTCCTTATGAACTTCTTCTCGGCCTCGTTTGTTTGATAGGCACCATGAGCCCCCATGAGAACGATGTCCAACTCCGGGGCTGTTTTGAAAGAATCCTAGACTGGAGTGTTAAAATCCGGGCCTTCTTCTGCGAGTAGTAGGGAGACATACAGTTGGGACAATCTTTGCGCCGCCTTTCATTGCCGCGGGCTCCTTGTCTTCGTTTATCCAGTGCATGACAACATCAATACCCTCTTCGATCATTTCAGGAGGAAAGTTCAAAAACTGAAGGGATTTTTTGTCCATCCAAGTGAACAGCTCCACTGGTGCGACATCGAGCATTTCCGTTGTCCTACGCGTTTGTGAGTACTTGATGAGCCTATGATGGAGGCTGATATGCGCCTACCCCTTTGTCAAAATCACTCCGACATGGAGGGGCCGATTTGGCTTAGCGAGGTTAAAGGTCATTGTTTCTGATATAATAGAAGTGTGAGGGTTATATTAACTGTGTGAGATTACGCAGGCTGCCTGGGCTTTTAAAGTTATATCAATGCCGAAATCCCGAGGCGGTTTAGCTTTAAGAAGCTTCAAGTAGGTGTCCGTAGATCCGAAGATGGGCGGAGATAGAGGATGTGCGTAAATTCGGCGTAATGTCTTTCTAGTGGTGACGCTAACCTAGTAGGCATCTAAGATCCGATGGCAGACGGATACAGAGGCAAAGAGGATACCCGAGCAATTTTGGAGAACTCAAGAAGAAGTCTAGGTGCTGCCACTGTCTTCCCCCGTTGTATGCCAGATTTAAGAAGAGGGTATATACCGTGGCAAACTGAAAGTAAGGCACTACACTAGTCAAAAGCTTTCATAATAAACTTTCTCTCAACTTCATTAGTTGCGTAGGCACCGTGAGCTCCCATTAGAATAATATCCAGTGGTGGACTTGTGTTAAAGGACCCGTGAGCGGTGGTTAGTTTGAGCTTGTCTATTGTTCGCTGTAACATACTGTTGGAATGAGTAGAGCTCCACTCTTCATAGGTGCTGGCTGTTTATCCTCATTAATCCAGTGCAGGTTTCGTAGAGATTGTTTATCCACCCAAGTGAACAGCTCCACAGGGGCAACATGAAGCATTTCTGTAGTTCTACTTTATTAAGATTATGTTTGTATTCAGCCGTTGTCTTGCTAACGTAGCCCTTTGTCAAGATCACGCTAACGTGGATGACTCGATCCGGCTGCGCAAGACTGGAGAACGTCATTGTTCATTGAAGAATGAAATTTCGTCGATTTTCCTGTGCCTTGCCTCACGGCGGGTAGGCGGCTCTTCCAAAAATGTTTGAAACTGGAGCATTACTGATGACGTTGCGCCGAGAAAAATCTCAAGACCAAAAATTAGATCCGAAGGCGCTAGGATGTAAGATCGGCATGCACACGAAATACAGTTTGTTCCATACCTGTGCTTGGTCATGTCACAGCCCCAGTGCTTGTTCTCTAGCACTTAGCAGCTTCAAAACTCATGATCAAATACCAGCTCAAACAGTGTGCTTTTACTAGTGCCAGTTGCCACTTCCGACACGCATCGGATATACAACGGCTCAGTGCGGTTTCGGCAATTCTACTAGATAAGAATCCTGGTGTTAGTTAATTGGGAGGCTTTATTAATGAGAGCGCCCGCGGTCTTCACGCTCTAATTTCTTTTAAATCATTGCGTATCAAGCTGCCTTAGTTGTGGTTGACATTTTCGCCCAACCATGTCCATCCCCAATATTCTCCTGCTTCTCGCATTTTCGGCCTACTATTTTGTCTGGTACTTCTCTGACAAAAATGGCCTCACTAGTCAGATTGGCGCGGCGATAACTGTCGGCAAGCTCCCTGGTATTGAAGAACGTCTTCGTCAGGTATATACAGGTATCGAAGCTCTCGACACGATTTTAGTATTTTTGACGACGTTTTTCTGGACTCTGGTGGATGGCAGTCAGCCTGGCATGATGCTACACTCGATCACATTCTGCGGGGCACTTGGCTCTGCGTGGATACTGGTCACGCTTGAGTCATGGAGACGAGGCAACGCTTGGACGACGGCAGCTTTGTAAGTTTGTCTGTCCTATATCTTCTACTGTGTTTTCGGTACTCTAGTGAATGCTGACAAGAATACTGATGAGAAGCCCTACGTTCTTTGCTCTGCTGGCGCAATTCTACACCACTTTCGCTCTTGCGGCTCCCCTCTACGGATATCTTCATCTTAAGAGCCGTGCCGCTGCTGTTCATACGCCCAATGCTGAAAACATGCGTCTTCCTCTTATTGTCATTGAAGCCATCCCCTACGCTTTCATCATAGGGCTGGTCGCCCCCACCGCGCTTATGTGCGCGCCAATCTCGAAACTGATGACATATGATCTGAAGCAAATTTGCATTGCCCTCTGGCAGCCATGCCCTGCGTACGCCGCTGGCCTGGTTGTGATTTATTATAAATATGCCCGATCTGTTTATGCTACAGACACGCCAACAACAAGGCGACAAACTCGCCGCCTCCTGCCTTTCATATACGCATACGCCTTTGCAAATTCTGCTATATCGCATCTTACTACCATTATACTCTCCTTCGCGACAGTTCTTGCTCCTAGCATCTTCCCCCGACCCTACGCTGATAAGCTTGACCCTGGCAAGGTCTTTGCAATGCCGGTCCCGTGGTCTGTGCCCCTACCACATGTTTCTTCCGTGGGACAGGGTGCCCGAATATTTCTGATATGGGACTACGCTATTGGTTCTATTGGAATTCTTATTTGGGCCGTTTCTCTGTATCGAACAGCCCATCGTGCTGCGGGAGTGCAGGTATATTCAACCAACCTTTTGGCGAAAACTATTATCCTGTCGACACTGAGTGGACCTATTGGAGCAGCAACGGTCTTGCTGTGGCAGCGAGAGGAACTATTTCTTTATGCCTCAGAAAAGCTTCGAGAATAGTAAGGCTCTACTTATCTCACCATTTGGGTTGGGTGTCTTATAGTTATAGTCAGATAATAGCAGATGCAGCCCTTAGTAGGGTGAGGATCAGACATCCTAGTAATGGATAATGCCTAATATTTAGTATATTATTATCTCTTCTTAACGACGACTCTATATGCTTATATACTACTAAGCTTAATAATTATTATTAATATAAACTAAAAGCTAGTTCTACACTTTATCTTTAGAAGCGTTAATAAGCTCATCTTCTACGGACACGTAGACTTTCCTAATTAAATCATTCTTCACCTAACTACTTAAGCACCACGTTCTTTTAATAGTCTCTAGAGCTAGCCTTACTCCATCCTAGGAAATTGTACGCCTCACGTAAGGGAATACCCATTCAGGATCGTCAGACATCGCCAGGAGACTGAGGATATTGATCGCCATCTAGTGCAGGCGCGATACTCCATCCTCTGCCCCTCCCAGCACCACCATTCCAGCGGCGTCTTCACCATCACGTGCTAGGCTAGTGCGCTAAATTTACTACGGGAGGCTACGTAAACACAATTACACTCGTGCTACGCCCTACTTTAACCTACCTAAATTTATAATAACGAGTTTTTCCTAAGCCTTAGCCTTAGCCTTAGTAGAGGCGTTAATTAGTACTTAGCTATAATAGGAACTATTTTGACTTTATAAAAAGGTTAAGAAAAATCTTTTATTTTTTTTTTAAAGTTAATAAAAGTTATATAAAATTTTAAATATACTTTCTAATATTATATTAAATATTTTAGTTTATAAAGTTGTTTTTTCTTTTAATAAGATTAAAAGAGAGATTAAAGACTTAAACTTCGTTTAATTTTAAAAATAGAGTTTAAATAATAGTTTATATAATAAAAACTAAAATATTAAAAATATTAAAATATTATTATATTTATAATAAAGGTTTTATAATAAATGAATAATAATATTATTAAAAAACTACTTAATAATATAATTTTAATTATAGTTTTCTATAAAGTCTATAATTAAAATGATTTATTAAAATTTAATAATACTTTTACCTATCTTCCTAGAGAGACAGAGGAGGACTACTTATAGACTTTACACTATCTAAGATACCTGCATTAGCATGGCTTACCTTCTGTGGTCTTAACAGACCTATGCCTAGCCGCGATAAATACTGCCGCGACCTGTTTCTCTTTATCTAAGGGTTTGCTATGCACTTAGCACGTTAATAAGGCAGTTATGTAGCATTTCCGAGCGGACTTTTTAGCCGATAGGGATCAAGAAGGCAAAAAATAGGACGAATTCTACACTTTGTGGCACTTAGTCGTAGCCTCGCCTAGTGAATCGACATTTTAAGAGCGTGTTACTATTTTTAAGGATAAATATACTAAGATATACATAAATACAGTAGTATACATTAGAGTAATATAGCCAGACCCGTTTAAGGACAAGATTGTTAGATGTAGGTTAATAAACATTTACACTTTAGTAATGTATCCTAAGTTGGTTTAGGTTCCAACATGCGCTCTGCCTCTAAATATCTTCCCGCCGCTGTCTTTTTCTCCACGTAACGTCGGCCACCCACTTCTGAGCCACACCCCCTTTTAAGTCACCTAACCTCTTCATTTTCTATAATAAACCTCCCTTATTAGAAGCGCGTTTTTTAGCGCCTAAAAAATCAAATAATTTTTTTTTTTTTACTATTAAGTTATTATAAATTAATACACTAAATAAGACCTTTAAAATACTATTTAAAACATAATTAGTAGTATAAGTATATAAAAGGTAGTAAATTACTAGTCTATACTTTAAAGAACACTATAGTATTATATTAAAGGTATAGTATTATAAAAAGAGGCTTTTAAGCTATTATAATAGCTTTTAGCTACTTAAGAATTATATTTTATCTCTTAGATCCTAATTTAGGATTATCTTAATAACCCCCCTATCCACTAGTAGGTCTAGAAGATTACTTTAAGTCTCTACTAAGCTAATAGTAATAATTATAATATTAGAATTAATTAGTTATAAGGCTTTTTAAACTATAACCTAGAGGTTAAATGTAACGGTGGCTTAACCCTAATCCACAGTTAGTCTGTTTCTTAGGTAGAGAGT